TTATTATTATTATTATTATTATTATTATTATTATTATTATTATTATTATTACATGGAGCTACACGCTTCAATATCCTAGCATTATAGGTACGCAATGCGTGCAGAGGGCTATGTAGCTGCAGTCCTTTGCACACATTGCAGGCCTATGGTACAGGGTGATAGTGTTATACGTACGCCATGCATACAGAGGGCTATGTAGCAGGTCAATAACATAAAAGTACACAATGTGTGCTGAGGACTGTGTAGCTGTAGTCAAGGCTGCTGCCTAACAGGTGCCCGGTCGCCTGAGGCGCCTAAGTTATGAGTGTGGGCGACTTAGGTTTTGTCCAAGGAGCCCGAGTGGGCACCTAAACATGGAGTTTTCATTCCCATCTAATCTGCCTGATGACTTCAATGTTCTCATGAAATCAGTCAAAACATCATTCACACAATAAATTAAACGGAAAACAACATCTTCTCTGAGCCTGTTTTGCTTTTAACACGAGAAATATAGGCCAAAACACGGCAACAAAGTCTCTCTCCGCTCACAAGACAGCCGAAAACAGCCATATTTGAAAATCGCCCTATAATGCATTCCAAGCTCAGTATTGAATAAATGTACGTCATGTATGCCAACGGATTGTGTCTCTGTTGATGCCCTACTGATTCCAGTTGCAAAATAACTACTTTGATAACAAATATTTTTGGAAATGGAGTGATCATGCTGCTGACATTATATTTACAATTGAATAAAGATAAATGTCTCTAAATTCTTGGGCTTTCTGTCCAATACTTTGGAAAACTTCACCTAGCTGTACTGAATGAATTTCTGTAGTTTCTGAAAGGATATTTATGACTTAACAGTCAAAATATTCAAGTAGCTAACCAGCAAAAAGAAAACATCATTGCAATTCTTTTTGCATACTAGGGTTTTATATTTTAAATTATCAAAGGAATTGTCACGACTCCGCCCAATATACGAGAATATATTGTCTCCTAAGACACTGCCAATACAATGCAGTAATGCTGCCTAAAAAAACAACTGAAGCCCGGGGAAGGAAAGCACATTTCAGTGAGGCCAAATTCAAATGCCCCAAATGCCTCTTCCATTTTTATTTGTTTTCATTTGCAACTTCCATTTCATGATTAGTAAAATGTACTTTGTTTTGTTAAAAGAGAATTGCTAAATTAAAAACAAAAGCAGCAATACAAATTTTTGTAAAAAAGCCGCAGCACTTGCATGCATACGCCAATTATTGAATTTGTTTGACCACAAATAGTGTTCTTTCTCAGTCATAACCTCATCACTTTGCTGAACACTTTATTTCAAGAATTTGATTGATATTAAGCAATTAGGTTATTCGCTCTCTCGATTTCTATTGTGTGATAGTTGACGAGGGTGCAGCCCGAGTCAACTATCACACATAGAAATTGAGAGCAACTAATCTAATTGTTTTAGTATAAATCTACTAGTTGTTCAAAACTTTCATCTAAATCCTCTTCACAGACACTTCGAAAACACGAAGAAGCAGCCCCCTGCGTACACTGCTATGCTACTCACTATTTATCACAGAATAGAATGTGAGTAGCGTAGCCAATCAGAGAACGCCATTCGCGATAGAATGCTAGTAGATTTATACTAATAGACCATATTAGTGTCTCATGGAAAATCTCTGCCTCCGGACCCCTCCCCTAAATTTCCAAATTCACTCCACGCCCCTCCCCCGTNCCCCCCCCTGTCTTCCCCAATCTCCCTGACCCCCTGGATTGACCATGGCAAATTTATTCTGGGCTCCTAAAAAACTGGCTTGGGCTCCTTAAAAATTTCCTTAGGCAACAGCCTTGTGTAGTCCTATGTATGTGTTGCAGACCTATGGTACAAGGTAATAGTATTATCGGTATGCAATGCACAAGAGACCTATGTAGCAGCAGTTCTTTGTACACATCACAGGCCAATGGTACAAGGTAGTAGTGTTAAAGGTATGCAATGCATGCAAAAGGATTTTTAGCTGTTGCACACCGTGACCCACTGCCTATAAGACTAGCGAAGAGTGATTGGTCATGCGAGAGTAGCCCAGAGAAAGACTGTTACTGATAACTGATATTCAGTCAACCCAAGGTTCTCATATAGATAATTTTTCAGAAATTATGTTTCAGGTGCGAGGGTCTTATTGTACATCAGTAACACACTATCAAACTGCCTCAGACTGACATTATAATGTAAACCCTGTGCAAAACACAAATCAGAATTCTTACCTGCTCATTCCAGCCATTACTCCGCCCGCTTTAACATCAGCACCACCAGTGTCATATGTAACACCCTGCAATAAAGGAATGAAAGATTCAATATTCTTTATTAAAACTATTCATTTTCCTTCATCCCAGATACACCACAGAGAAAGTGACAAAAACGAAGAACAAATCACCTAATAGTAAATTTCAATTTTTAACACAAGAAACCTACAAGTAGTCAGTCGATAGAAGGGTGGCTGATTATAAGAAATCAAGCTACAAAATAAGTCCCAGAGTCATTGAATAAACATGACACATCACAAAACATGAAAAATAAAAAAAGGAAATGAAATATCACAATATGAAACATCACAATACAAAACAAGTTCCATAATAGGGGGCTGATAATAATTGAACCTTAATATATATCTTTCTTCAACCCATTGACTCCGAGAGACGTTTAACAAAAAACACATTTTTTGGACATTTTTGACCCGATCACTCTGATCTGGGCATTATTTGAAAGATCTTTTCCTCCTCAAGTATGGACAAAGCCAATTTTGGTCAAAGCTGATGACACAGATCCGAAGTGGAACAAAGGGCAATGTCCGTCACGGCCGGTTACAGCCAGCATGGGCGTCAATGGATTTAAGTCTAAATAAAAAAATAAGCCCCTGGCTTTCTATTGTGGGGAGAGGGGGGTGGGGGGAGATATTGTGAGGCAAACTTGTCATCAGAAGGAATTTTGCATCAGAGATTTGATCAACTTGCTTTCAGGAGAGGCAGATTACTTTTGAAATTTTGAAATTTCTACACACGTGGCATCATAGGGATGTACAATTCAGTTGTGATCACAAAGCTTAATAGATGTTACTTATTTTCACTTACCTTTCCAACTAAAAGGAGAGTTTTTTCGATCTCTCCCTCTCCAACATATTCCAGATTGATGATTCTGCCAGTATGTCTATCAACAACTAGAATGATAAACAAGAAGGGGCAGTGCACCTAATCAACAACCACATGTAACTCAAGACCTTGAGTTTTCCATGAGGCGACATTTGATGATGCTCAAGAATTCTCACTGAATTTCCTTTAAAAAAATGATCGCCCATCACTCCTCTACATTTTAAGTATTATTAAACTTAAGTCTTTTAAGTATCAAATGCCTGTGGAAAGGACAGTCATTTGAGACTTCCAGTTGTGTATGTGTGATCATTAGTTTTTAGTCCTAAAACAGTGACAGTCACTGTCCTTCCTTTTGTTCATAACTGAAACATTTACAGCTGTAATGTGGTGAAATTTCTAACTCTTCTTCTTCTGTTTGTGTACAGTGGGAGGAGGGGGTGGAGTAGTGGTGGGGAGGGGTGGCAAAGAATGGTCAGAACTTTGCAACTCCCCCATCTTGTTCTCCAAATGCCTACTCTTTAATTAGTGGTTCAAAACTCAATTTTATTCTGTTTTTCCCTGATGAGCAATACTAACCTCTGGCACATCTATTGACAGCTTCATACAGTGGATACTTTGCTTTAAACTCGGTGGCATCTTTAACAACTGTCACCTATTTAAAATAATAAAAAACAACAGTCAAACACTATTTCAGAAGTGGGGAACTTACAGATGCTCAAGACTTGAAGAGATAACTAAAATTGAATGAGAAAGTTTAAATAATGCAAGTGAACCACACCATAACTGATGCTTACACTGACAGCAGTTGAGCCACCAAATAATTCCTGAATGTACTCCTCGACGCGAGGGGCTGCCATCCTCTCTGGGTCAGATCCACCAATATCTAGACACACATACCTAATAACAAACATCAGATCACCATGTGAAAGGAACATGTCACTAGTACGTTATCCTTGACAGCTGGAAAAACATGCATGCATTATTGCATTCAGATACCAATTTTAAAGTGGGAAGGGGATGAGGGGTGGCCAATGGTCCTTCAAAAACTCTGGGTCTCGCAAAATTTTGTCGAATTTCACGGGTCTCGCAGTCTCGTTTTTTAGCCGTTATGTGCATCTCGGAGTCTCGATTTTTCTGCGAAGCTGTCTCGGAGTCTCAATTTTTCGCAAGGCTAAGGGTCTCGAAGTCCCAATTCGTTCCTTTATCTGTTTTTATAAATGATTTCTTCTGGCTTCACTTTCTATGTAATGTCCATGAAGCAACTTACAAATTTCCCGAGAAAAAGTTAATCCTAACCTACCGCAATGTCCATTTTGGCGCCAGAAAAACAGCTATTTTTTCTCTGGGATATCATAATGTAGTGTGTTATAATCGAATTTCCAGTTCCAGTCAGTTCCAAGAAGCTGGCTTAAGGTTGTACAAGCTCATTGTAGCTCTCAACTAAATCTGGGGTTCGAATGTTAAGAGTCTGAACATCTCGCAACTTGCACTCAACACGCTTTGAAGTCTCGGTCTCGTAATCTAAAAAGTCAAAATGTCTCGTGCTCACAAAGAAAAACGCTTGTCTCGCAAAGTCTTGCATTTACTATTCGCCACCCATGGGATGGTACGTTGGCTTCAGCTGAATATTTAACTGTCATTTATGAAGACTTAATGCTCTGTTCTCTCAATTAAGCTTACCTTCCAGAATCTATGGCTTTAACATATTTCAGGTCACATTTACGCTGCAGATGGAAATGGCAAAATAATTGTAACTACAATTATCAAATCAGTTGACAGCACCAGTCACCATATGTATGGAAGGTCTAATCATTTAGTGCATGGATATAATGTCCTGGTTTGTATAGCCCTTTGTTATCCAATTCAAATAATAATTATTTATTAATAACTAATATTGAATGGATGTAAGGTTTGGGTATTTGAAACAAGGAATTGAACCCATTTTTAATTTCTCAATTTTAGGTTGCCTCCTTATCAGAAGAACCAGTTCAAGCTCCCAGTTTGACTTTAAAGGAACTGCTGTACTGTATCTTCACCAACGTAACTATCCTTATAACCTTTTAGCTTTCAACCTAAAATGTGTAGTTCCAGAAAATATCCATACCTCTCTACCCCTCTGGAAATTCCAATTAAGCTTTGTAAATTTATTAAATTTCTTTGGTCTTACAGATCCCCCACCAGGAAATTCCAATCCCTTCTGTGGGGAATGTATGGATACTTTCTGGAACTCCACAATGTAGCTTTGGAGTTTTTCCTTGAATTTCAATCCCACAATAATTTATTTACATTACTATGAATTCCACTTACTTCATCAAGCAGGGCCACTCCAAGCTTCTTCACTTTCTGCTTCTTTTCTGGAAATGCTTCTCGCAATTCAAGTGGCTAAATGAGAAACCCAAAACTGTTAAACAATGATAGCAATGATAGTAAATGATGGTTCCACGTTTAGTAATAGATTGAAAACCTACCTTCTGTAATTACAAAATGTACTTATAGAAATACTGCCTCTAAATGTATAACTTAATTAGCTATTATTTTATTTAACAGACTGTTTTGATTGCTTATCTGGTGATCACTCAAGACCAACCTGGCTATGGGTAAAACAGTCTGATTTGCCTTGGCAGAAATTTCAACCTTCATTGCTCTGTTTCTTTTCAGAAACCTTTCTGGATGAAACCTTTCAGGGGTCAAGAAAACTGCAGTAGTTTTGTACTGTAGTACAAAATCAAATCAACTTAAATGCCAATATCCTCTCTTGAGAGGCTGTTACAACATTTTGTTGGTCTTTATGTTTGCATGGTTAATTTTTGTCTGGAAATCTATAATTTTAAGAAAAAAATATCATTAGTACAGAAAAACCATTGCTGTATAATAGGTGCCAAATGTTAAATATCTACCATGATACTCACCACATAAAGTGCATGAAGTGCTCCCAGTGCTGAAACAGACCATGCATTAGGGAAAGAATCTCCAGCCATGGTGACCAGAAGGGGAGACTGGCTTCCTGCCTTCACTGCCCTGCAAAAATATAATGGAAGATATCCAAGATTATAATGACAGACCCTCACACACTGGATGGAGTGGAAGACAGCAAAGTGAGGGCCTGAAATGGACTCCTAACACTGCATTTTCTAATTTTAAGAGATTTATCCTGCTTGGAAACTAATTAGTAATACACTACAAAAGGTTGCACAGAAGGGTGCTATAATCATTTTTGTCAAAGATGCTCTTGTTACAATTGTGTTGGTTTGTGAATACATTATTCAAATTCATCCATGAATTATACATATATGTATGTGACCAGAACGACACTTCTCATCCCTTCAGAATAAAATGTTCAAATGCAGATTTTTGTCCTCAACCACAATGAAAACACTCAAGTCTGACGATAATGCTTAGTTAAATAAGTTATGTGACTACACCTGCAAGTTATGTTTTCTTAAGTGATTTTTGCAATGTTTAGAATTGTTTTGAAAATAAACTTTACAGAAGAAAAGGGGCAACAAAAAACTAGAAATGAACAAAGATATTAGCTTGTTAGGACTAGGAAAGATTTACAAAGCAAAATTTGGAATAATAAACTTATCCAAATTCTTAAGTCTTCCAAATTTTCATTGTTCACAAGGTGGAAATACATCTAGCTGTTTTAGAGACAGAGTACTGCATTACCTTTTGATTCCTTTTCCAGCTGCTTCACCGTACCTCCTAACATCATCATAATCTCTGTTAACAGGGCCAGTTGGTGCATGAACCTAAGAAAAGAAGCAAAAGTTTCCTGCTAAGTGATAATTTACATTAGAAGTTACCCTGTAAAGTGCTTCCAAAACAAATGCTCACACTTAAGTACATACCACTGGAACCGTATCAGCAAACAACAAAGTGTCAACACCAACAGCTTTGTCCACCTGTAAAACAAGCAAACAAATGTGAAATCAATACACCTTGTATTATGTGTACAGTCAAACCTCTACTCGCAGACAACTCCATAATATGGACACATGCATGTATCTAGTGGTTGTTAACTTGGTCCCTGACAGAAATCAAAATTTATAAAATCCCTAAATATCAAAAGGACACCTCCATGATGCAGACACAAGGCTCTGCCCCTTTGCTGTTCCTATTAAAAATGAGGGTTAACTTAAAGGCATGTTTATATTTTCATTCATTCTAACACTGCACGTGTACTGTGGTAAGAAGTGAGTACCGAAGAGACACAACTCCCGATACCACTTTGTTCAGAGGATAAGTGACCATGCCCACTCTACGTTAGAGGAACGATGTTAGTTAAAGGATGGGCAGCTATTCAATCCTACATTCATGCACTTCACAGACCCCAGTTGCACTGGATAACTTGATAATACTTGACTGCAAGATTAATTCTACAGGGTGCTTTAATTTACCTTTGCTGCTTCCAAGATTGGGGTCTTCAAAAAATCCCAGTCTTGGTTACTCCACTCCAGATTCTCACACACAAGGACATAGCAGTCAAATTTGTCTGGCAATGGAGTCTTCACTGGAATAATGTGGCAAGGTAGTCTGGAAAGATTAATTAACCACACTTGAACAGAGAAACACTATCATTTATAAATTAAACACAAGCAATATGACTTGGAGGATATACTGTATGGCAAGCCGACTGAAGCGAAATTCAAAACCCATTTCTTTTAATTCAGTCACTAATTAAAATGTTTAATTCAAATTTTTGCATTGACAAAGAGAACTTTCTCCCCATTCTTTAGACAGTGGGATGGACAAAGATGAAGTCAAACAAGTCATCACAAAAAGAGATGGAAGAGAGTGAAAAGTTACTGTCATTGTGGAAAATGAAGACAAAAGAAAATGTAAATAATGAAAATGAAGAGCCTACTGCACAGTATTCCAAGTTGGTTACCCATGAAAGTACTACACTTTTAACACACCCAACAAAGTGCACTTATAACCTCTGCCAGATTTAAGTTAATTAATCAACACTTTCCTTGTGGTATGAAAGGAAAGAATAACAAAATTTAGTTTCTTTCTAGGTTACTCCAAACGTTCACAGGACTACTTTTGCCAAATTCAATGAAATTAAAGTTCATTATTTAAGGTTACCGGAACATTTAAAAAAAAATGAAAATAAAATATTAAAATGTCCCTGAGTTATTGGGAAAAAGAGATTTTTTAACAAAAGTTATTAACTCTTAAGGTGTCATAAACTCCAAAAGGCATGGACTCCTCAGTGACTTTTTTGCAGCAAACGGTTTAATACTATCTATTCCTGAATTTGTTGCCCAAGTCTGCAGGGGTTACGTTAATGTTTACAGCAGAAGGCCAATACATGTAGGCCATTCTACAGTTGTGTGCTTAGTTACCTGGCCTATGAATGCAAGGGAGGCTGGAGCTGACCTTGCTTTGATACAGACCTCTCTGCTTTTCTCATTTAAATGTCAACTAGTTAACAAAAACAGTGAGGTCTTTATCAAAACAAGGTCACCTGCACTGTCTCACTGCCATTCATAGGCCAGGTCACTAAACAGACAACTGTAAAATGGTCTATTGGTTTTTATAGGCTGGCAAAAATTTTTGAACAAACTTCTTTACAAGAAAAACTTTCCTCTAGATGGTACATCCAGGTGGGCAAAACCGTCCTCACAGCCGGTCAATTTTCGTGGAGCCCAGCCCCTAATGAATTTACCCATAGTCTGCAACATCACTGATGTGCTTTCAATTAGAACTTTGGCATAGTACTGACAACCAAGGGATTTATAGCAGAGAGAGAAGAAACCATTCCTAGTATACCAGCCATGCATTGTTGACAAATTCAAAATGTAACTTGTGTAATTCAAGCTGTGTCTGACTGTCGGATACCTTTGAGAAAGTCACCACCAAGACCAAGTAAATATACTTTTTAAAGTCATATTAAGTTTCATACTAATTTTTACAGTATTGCACCACTGACTGTGAGTGATCTGTGATGAGCCTGGACACACTGTGATTAATTTGCGATATGCATTGCAATACTGTGCAACTAAACCAGAAGGTAATAATTATTAAACGACCTCTTAAACAGCCAGGGGTGGGTGCAGTCAGATATATGAAAATATTTACCTTAGCCATGTGCGGTTAATACAGTCTTGTCATTTAATGATATTGGATAACAGCTTACATTGTAAGGATTGTTATTTTTGTCCATGTATGTTTCATCACGTGAGTTGGTTGTGACAATTAATATGATATATCTGGGCAGAAAGGTCAGACAGAGTGAGAAAAATATCCCATACTTCTTGAAAATCATAGCAATTGTAGCTGAATATATAAGAGAACTTTCTCTGAAGCTATGACTTCAGCTCACATCACATAAGTAAAGAAAAAAAATACTGAATTAAACCAGAAAAGGAAGCTTATAAAAGGTGTTGGACATTTACAACCCCACCCAAAACATTTTCATTTCTAAACTAAAAACTCACGCACATAAAATTTACGAAATAGTAGTAGATATACTTTCTCAAGTTAATGAGAGGAAATGAAAGAGTTGAACACAAAAAGTAAGCTCGCAACTACATTCATGTAAGCTTATACGTGACTATTCCTCTCTAATTATTGTGCACAACCCTACATGATAACCTATTTCTGGGCGAGGCGATTCTGAATTTGTCAGGGTTTTCTCAGCGACTACAGATATTGAATTTTTCACTGGGATTCATGAGTTTTAATTATGTTAACTTTATAGATGATCTCCCATCGACAAAATTCTCCCGAGAAGCCATCGAGACCCATCGAAGTCATCGAGCAACAAGCACAGACAGGACAGCCTTAGCTTAGAGCACAAAATGCGATCAACCCTCAGCCGACATTCGATATAAATTAGAAAGTGGCCGACTGCATCTACCACGTAATCTACTAAATAAAATTCCACAACTTACCTCAAATCCTTTTCTTCGTCGGTCATTTTGCCTGGTAACACACAACCGCTCTGCACAAATGCACAGTCTGAGCTGTTGAGAAAAAGCACGCGCGTAAGCGCAGCACGTGAGAAAAACACGCGCGAACTGTGAAACGATCGCTACGTCATCTAATAGTCACGAAATGCACCAATGATAACATAATGGGAGGGGAGCGAGTGACGAGTGAATTTCACGCACGTTCTCATTTCCCAAGCCTTAAGGTAAGGGAAATTACAGTCGAACCTCCACTAACAGCCACCTCTCCACAAAAGGCCACCTCTCTACAACTGCCACTTTTCTTTTTCGGACAGTCCATACATTCACTCTTATTTTAACCTCTCTATAACAGCCACCTCTCCACAACGGCAACGACCACTAAAGGGCGTCCCAACTGCCAAAACTAACCTCTCGACAGCGGCCAGTTAATCAACAACTGACGAACGTTGTATGCAAAACCTCATTTTTTATTGTAAAAGGTCACGAACAGCTGATCCATACCGCGCGCTGTTGGTCTCGGTTTTTGTGTGGTTTCTGTTAATTGAATATTTTGATTGTGTTACGTATTTACAAGCTACACTAACAGTTTTTAAAGGTAAAAATGATGGACCCCAGGAAAATAAACCGGTGTCGTGTTGCAGCCCTATCTCCCCCAAACGGCCACCTCTCTACAACGGCCACTTTCATCTGTCCCCAAAGTGGCCGTTGTGCAGAATTTCGACTGTATAAGAATTTTGACCAAACTTAATGTAAAATTATATCATTTGATTAAATACAAATGATGCAAGGGAGGTCAGTACGGAGGATCTGTAAAAGACCTGACATTTGATCACCTTTTAATATCGTGAATGACAAATTACGCTTACAATCGTGGGTTTCACAGGTTTATTGAATCAAGAAATTTCACGCCAAACGTTGCTATGGTAATTTTGCGCTTTAACTTTGTTTAACTTCCTGTCTGCCGTTATGTCTAGTTTGTCATCGAATGGCAACACTGTGAATGGTTTTTATTACATACGCAAGAGATTTCCTTTTCATTCACCAATTCACAAACGCTTTGGGTCCGTTAAGACACAGTAATGGGCCAAATTGGAATGCTGTTTAGCATTAAGGACGATTAATCGATTTGAAATATCTTGAAGCAAATCAGAATCGCGCATTTATTCTAATTTTGTAAACAGGCGATCTCGGAAAAAGTAATAATAATAATAATAATAAAGCTCAAAACGTCGAGATTCTAATCTGGCAATGTATAACCGGTAAAAGAAAAAAATCAAACCGTGGTCATCAAAAGTGTAAGTGTAAAAGTGTAGGAACAAGTTCCAAATAAATTCCGCCTAAATAAATTGGAAATAAGAAGTGAAATGATCTGAAACGGTCCGACCCCAAACAAATGAACAAAATATTAATACGGCTCATTTCATCCGAAAATGTTATAGGAAACCTGCCTAAAAGCCGTTTATCCCCCTCAATACCACTCTATGGTGGCCTGGGACTGCCATAACAAAAAAATACCAATTGTCTTAACAAGTTTCCTGTAAATTTATGTTTTACTTGCTTTTTTGTTTTTTGCTTTTTTTAGCTTCTTTTTTAATGTCATTTTGCTTTTTATCACAAAAATATTCTAATTTAAAATCAAAAGTAAATAAATTAAGACATTAATTTAAATCAAAAGAAAATAGCTCAAGAAACAAAATAAAAACAAAATGATTTTAAATATGAAAGTAATTTCAAACGTAAACAAAATTTGCTGTTAAATAGATTTAAAAACTAATCCAAAAAAGTTAATTTGAAAGAAAAGGTATCATAAATTAAACTGAAAGCAAAATTGTCCATGGCCTATCGTTGTCATAGGAAACAGAAACAAAATACCTTTTTTTGGTCATGGCCTGTCGTTGCCATAGCGGAAAAAAACGCCCATGGCTTATCGTTCCCGAAGACCTGAATGCATTTCGGTGCATTTACCGAGGTCAAAGTAGATCAATTTCGATAGAAATGAACTACGCAGTCTTTTTATATCAACTCACCTTGGTTTCGACATCAAAAACCAATTTTCGAGCTGTTGCGCAAAGGATGCGCACAGTTTATTCCATTGTCAATTGTCGTTATTGCGCATGTGTGTCAACCAAGGCCTAATTTCTGTCCTCAACCAGTCAATGTCAAGAGAATATGATCTGAGAGAACACATCCTCCATGCATGGGCCGGGCTTCTTCCAATGATAATCTTTTTCAATCTAATTTTATGGCGCGGTCATACTGCGAGACCATTTTAAGAAAGATACCTAACTGGTCAATTTAAATGACGTAATAACATTAAACGTTAATGGCTAATAAGTATGCCAAAAAAAAAAAAAATTCGCCTGGATTTTCGAAGCGCAATTCGCAAGGAAAGAGTAAGAAAATTTTTAACTGTCCTGCGCTTTGAAAGAGGCCCCCAAAGAGATCTTTTTCGCCTTAATTCGTTCAGTACTTTTCGAAAAACGACTCTCGAACAGGTTAGAATGCGATAGCGTGTTCAGCAGCCATGGCGCCTAATGTGAACTAGTCAGGCAGAGAAATGACAAGACTTATTTCCGAAGTAAACTTAGGTATAAACACAGAGAAGATAATTTTCCTGCCCGGTGCATTGAAATTACTTTCGAAAGAGATCTCTCTCGATCTAAATGTTGCGGTAGTTCCCTGAAAAGCAGTTTTTTTCGCCGTGGACCTACAAACTCTGGCAAGTAAACAGCACTTCGAAATTAAATATGTAAAAATTTGCGCCAGGATATTCGGAGCGAAAGTTCCAACAAACGAGAAACAAATACTTTAGCTGCCCTGCGCTTTGAAAAAACCTTTCAAAAGAGATGTTTTTCGATTTAATCCGTTCGGTACTTTTCGGGAAACGACTGTCGACAGTAATTCCTGTCAGCAGCCATGGCGTCTCATGTGAACCAGTCACGCAGAAAAATTAATGTCAAGACTTATTTTCGAAGTAGACTTGGACAAACCCTGGTAAATACTAGTAGTAATTCGTGAAGTGCATTGATACCCCGGGGGAGGGAGGGACACTACATTAAACTTTATTTCCAAATATGAACGTTTTTAACTTAAGTTTACATGTAAGCTTACAGCAATATTAAGCTCACCTGCAGTGAAATTCCTTAGCGGTGTACTCTAGCTAGGAATTTGTCGATAGGGTTTGTTGCTAGGAACATGAAATTTTTGGGTTATAACAGAGGTTACTCAGTAATGATTGTGGTATATTTACCACAAAATCAGAAACTCGATTCTTTTTAATTATATGCAGATCCCCGATTGTTTACTAAATCCTGATTCCGATACCCAAAGTAGACTGCTGGAAAAAGCATACTCTTGACACCAGCGCATACTTAAGCCCATTTACTCCATTTCCCTTCCAGGATTTGCCAAGTTGTGCATTTTTCGTGGAATTGTTTAACTTTTGTGTCCTTTACTGGCATCAAATGTCACATTACTCTAAACGGCGCATCGTTTGGTAAGGTTAAATACTGAGTGTAACTATCGAAAATTAAGAATAACACTACATTAAACTTTATTTCCAAATATGAACGTTTTTAACTTAAGTTTACATGTAAGCTTACAGCAATATTAAGCTCACCTGCAGTGAAATTCCTTAGCGGTGTGCATTTAGGAAATATCATATGGACAGTGTTTTAACTGATAAACTACAGGTAGGATATAGAAAAGATCGAAAGCAATTCAACTTATCTGATTTCCCAGAAATGCGTTGGTGATTATGATTGAAAGTGACATAATTGGTTACAACTCCTTCGAAGCACCGTAATTCTTTATCTTAAACAGGTTTTATACACACCAAACAAATAAAACTGCCAACTTCACTTCAAAATACATCAGTTCAGTTTTGCATGCCAAGATCAGAACCGAAAACGTTGTGCAAAACCGATGCTAGCCGTATTATTGTGGTTTCAGTTTTGGCCATACAGGCCGTTTCCACGATGAAAATGTTCTTGAGCAAAGAGCAAGAATAAACTCGGCGGCTTCGGGTATAAGCCTAAAAGGCAGTCAGTCATTCTAAAGGCAGCACAAGTAAGGGCTTATTAATATTATCGGTCGTAAATGTAGCTGTAGAAAGTCTTTAATTCAAAGCCTGCAAGGCCGGTCTAAACTCAAAGTACTAAAATTTGAATTCGCTAGGTCTTCTCGCTGTGGACCACAGAGCGAAGAAATGCTTAGGTTGGCAGCTTTCAGTTTTGATCTGAATGGATTAAATGCACGCACTCGTAAACTCTTAACTTGGCTCATAGTCTATGTGGTGAGCTTTCAGTTTCAAGAATAAGTTTACCTCAGGGCGTAGGATTTTCAAGGGAGGCCAGACTGTTACGAGTATTGAATACAACCAACGATACAGTTTGTTTCCTCTTTCATTTTGAACTGATGACAGCGAGTCTTAGCAAATGACACGTGTCAGATGAACTAGTTGCACCACGAAGTAGGCTTCAGATGTTTAATCAGTTTTGAGTCAACACATGCACAAGAACAGGAACGGATGAAGATGCATTTTGCTAACCGGCTAAGGTCTTAGATTTACCTAGCTTGGCCTGCGCCATATTGTTTTATTGCCAGTGCGGCTCTTGAAATTTCGCGGACTCCAAACAAACGTTCATAGTTCAGTATGTCATGAAGATTTCGGCGTAACAGGGCAACATATTTCAAGGTATCGACTGATTGTCTTATGTATCTTTTCGTTTTATGTTAACGTCATTTTCCACTTTCGTCTTAACTGCACTGTATTCGTCAGGTCGGTTGTCAATACTCCTTGCACTGGGAAGACTAAAGGGCTCTCCTGAGTGATTTTTAATCTCACTTAGCATTGGGCTAAATCCCGCTAATTTCAGTTGAATTGTTCAATATTTATTCACTTACATTCGACAACCATTAGTTTATGTAGAAAGTGTAAGATCAAATGAAACTGGTTCGCTTTACTCTAAGAATAGCGACGGAACACACTTGATGGGAAAATCGTGGAAGACTACGTAATAAAATTTCTTAATTATAAGCTTAAAAAGCCATCCCCAAAATCGCCTTCAGCTTAGGTCTAAACTGTTTTCCTGTTTAACAGCAGAAAGCAACAGATCACTGATATGTAGTGTAAGTTTGTAATTACGACCGAAGGATGGAATGGTCTTGAGAGCATTGGTTGGAACCACAATACTGTTGCCTTACTTTTGCCAAAACCCATTCCCAACTTGAACAATTATTGGGGCGTGTGGATCGCATGAAATGATTCGGAAAGTATTCAAGAAATGAAGTGAAACTTCAAATAAAGTGCTAAGATTGTTCATTCGAAAAACAAGTTCGATGGCCGTCTTGCTCTGACTTGAAATTGTGACAAGAAGAGGAAATCAACAAGTGCAGCGTTTAAATCGTCCACTTCTACACCACCTTGATTATAGTAATATGGAATAACAGTCTTTTAAATAAGTCGGGATGAAGTACACTTAAGTCTTTAATGCGATCTAGCTAGATCATCGAAAAGACGCAGAACCATAGCTTCATGCAATAAGATTCAAGAACGTTTGATTCTATTGATGATGGTTGCTCAGCAGCATTTTCCAAAACTTTGAACGTTCCTCAAAAAGGCACGCAGGTCATCTTACACCACCTTACCTTTACTTTCGACTTATTCACCAGAATAGTTAACACTAAATGGTCACAATTTGCAAGCTGTTGCTGGCTGATGGCGAATTGAGGTGCGCACAGTTTGTTGTTTCCAATTGTTGCAACTGCGCATGTCTGCCAGCTAACGCCTTCTTTCTGTCCTGAACTTACCAATCAGTTAAACAAAAATAGATGTCCTGCCTGAACACGTAAAAACAGCAGGATACGAGAATGTAATTAGAGAGCATTTTTTAACCAAAAAAGGATAATAGAGGGCATAGATCCCATGCTGGAATTAATCATGCAATTAATATCAACCAATAAAAGGGTTTATTTTTACACCCAATGGTTTTGCCACAACTTTGTCAACTTTGTCTTTAATGGCCAATCGGAAACAACTTTGTCACGACTTTGAAACCAATATTCACTAAACGTTACCACTTCTGTCATAGACAGATGTTTTCTTTTCAAAACTCGCTTAGAATCTAAATGATTTTAACAGGTAAAATTAAAACAATGTGATGTGCTTTGTGCACTCTTCAACATGGTTTCTCAGAAAAGCTAATTATGTGGCTTGAATGTTCTAGAACTTCAAGTGAGACCAACCGGTGGCTTGACTGTCTCCCAAAAATGCAAATTTAGCTTCTATTTTGTCGCAAGAGTTTACAATCAATAGGGTATTATCAGGTCTATTATCAGAACGCATTGTGAAATGTTGAATTGGAAGAATATTATCAAGAAAGATATAGGAAGCTATTTTGTGAAAGTATCTGTTCTTTTAAGAACAAAAAACAATGGAACTGGAGTCTGCAGATATTGTGGCCAAGTTCATGGTTTTAACTATGTGATTGGTATACATCAGTGAACTTTCATGAAATTGATTTCAAAATTCGTTTGAAATTTACATATACTATAAATAATAGCTTCTAGTAAATGTTTTGATAAAATAGACAATGAACGAAAGCAGAAACAACCGTATTGAAAGTATTAGTACATCACATTACTGAAAGAATCATGTATTCAACTTATCGTATTTCCCAGAAACACGTTCGTGATTCAGTTTCATTCTTTGAGCCAATAAGTTCAGTTACCTAAAGCGACTTGTAAGTGACATCATTGATCTTAAACTTCATCGAAATACCTTTCTTTACCTTGGACAAATTCGTTTCATCTATACACACCAAACAAATTGAACTGCCAATTTCACTTGGACAACACAGCATCAGAGCTTCGATGGCCAAGAAAACAGTTTCAGCCATGCAGGAGTTTTCATGATGAAGACTGATGGTCTTGCATGACCAACAAGCTCGAATACACAATAGAAAGCTCTCACTAATATATCGGTTGCAGATGTAATTGAAAAACGTCTTCTATTTAAATCTGTAAGTCCTGTCAGAAACTGTATGTGAGTCGTTCATATAAGACCTTGTTAAATTCTTGACAGACAAGGAAACATCGGCCAATTTGGCTGCATCACGTTTCCTTTCGAGGTGTTTTTACAGAGTTGTATCAAATTGATTTTCACAGAGCGATTGGGATCGATCAACGCATAGGATTTCCGAAAGAGGCCAGACTATCAGGAGAATTAAATACACTAAGAGCCACCTCTATTTGTTTCTCTTTCATTTTGAACTTGTCACAGGAGCCTTCGCAAATGACCAGCGCACAAGTAAGTTGAACTTATGTTTTGAGTCAAGACATACACAAGAACAGGAACGGATGAAGATGCATTTCGCTTAGAACTAAGATCTTTGATTGACCTAGCTAGGTTGTCGCAGTGTAGTTCTTGGAATTTCCAACCCAGACAAATGTTTGCAACTAATATATCTTTACAATTTCCACGTAAAAAGGGAACAACTTAAGCTATCGGCTGATGAACCACCAAACCGAATGAAAATACTTCTTGCACTATTGTCAAAACAGGGGAAGACGTAAGGGCTGGTTGTTCTGAGCAATGTTTAATTTTACTCGTATCGGGCCAAATTGCGCTTGTTTTAGATGAAAGCAATTCAATGTTTGTTGATTTACACTTGAAAACCGTTAGTTGATGTGAAAGAGTAAGGTTAATAAAAGTTGAGAATAGTGAGCACGCTGGATGGGGGAATATCACTCGACTGTCAATACCTTTGTGCCACTGAGTCAACTTCTAATTCCCAGAAAACTAAATTATCACTAAATCTTTTATGTTCTGAAGTTGGAGCTTATATTGAACTGAAAGCCATCATCAAAAACACCTTCTTTTTACGGAGTTCACTTCTCTTATCAAGTCTGCTTCCCCTGTTCTATTTCCCTCAAAAATCTTGGGCCATTCGATTCTTAAAAGCAGTGAAAATATTATGCAGTATGAATTTCTAATCAGCACCAAAGGATGATCGCGTCGGTAAAGAACCCGTGGTCAGAATTGGTCTTCACCGGTCTGTAGCAGCGTATTTTCCTACATATTGGAGTCTTCAACGTGTCCTTATCAATATTGGGAAGTAACTAAGAAAATATGTGAGAGAAACTGAAAATAAAGTGCTTAGATTGTTCATTCAACTAAAATCGTTCGCTGCAAGCGGGAGATTTACATGTGCACGCGGCATTTGAAAATAAATCTAGTACACTTTTACAACACGTTGATCAGCTACATGGAATAAAGGTCTTTGAAGTAAGTCGGGAGAAAATGCACCTTAGCATTCATCGCCATCTAGCTAGATCATCGAAAGGAAGTGGAACCATTGCTTCTTGTAATAAGATTAAGAACGAGTGATTCTGTTGATCATGGTTGTTCAGCAGCATTTTCCAAAACTTTGTACGTTTTTCAAATAGGTACCGTCATCTTACACCAACTTACCTTTACTTTGGACTTATTCAGCAGAATAGTGAACACTGAATGGCCACAATTTGCAAGCTGTTAATGGTTGATGGCAAAAGGTGCGCACAGTTTATTCTATTTCCAACTGTTGCAACTGCGTATGTCTGCCAGCCAACGCCCTCGTTCTGTCCTGAGCTTACCGATCAGTTAAAGTAAAATAGCTGTACTGCCTGAACACGTGAAAGCAGCATGATACGAGAAAGTAATTAAAAAGCATTTTTTTAACTGAAAAAAAGTTGTTATACGTCCCAACTCAAATACGTTTTTCGATTGGAGGGGAACGTGTCACGTGTCGTGGGTCAAACCTCACTAACTCCCTAGTTCGAACAAAACTCACTAGCTCCCTAGGGAAACAACAACTTGAACTTTCGACTCCCACGTGATCAGGTCATGCTCATCAAACAATTTTTTTGCTATTTTTTCTATTTTTGAATTGGGAGGTTGAGAGATTGGAAGTTGGGAGTTAGGAGATATGACAAAACACGAGGGTCTCGGGGAAACAAGACTCACTGTTTCCATTAAGTGCTTATTAATGGAGCATAGATTCCACGCAGACTGGAATTAATCACGCGATTAATATCGGAGGATCCTTTAGAGTATTTGCAAACTTTGGAGTATTTGCAAATTAAGTGGCAAATTTGGAGTATTTGCAAATTTGGAGATTATTTGGAGTATTTGCAAACTTTGGAGTATTTGCAAATTAAGTGGCAAATTTGGACTATTTGCAAATTTGGAGATTATTTGGAGCATTTGCAAACTTTGGAGTATTTGCAAATTAAGTGGCAAATTTGGAGTATTTGAAAATTTGGAGATTATTTGGAGTATTTGCAAATTTGGAGTATTTTCAAATTAAGTGGCAAACTTTGGAGTATTTGCAAATCACCACCAACCGGTGGCTTGAGAGTCTCCCAAAAGTGCAAATTTATCTTCTAATATGTCGCAAGAGTTTACAATCAATAGGGTATTATCAGGTCTATTATGAGTACCCATTGTGAAATGTTAAATTGGAAGAAAATCATCAAGAAAGATATAAGAAGCTATTTTGTGAAAGTGTCTGTTCTTTTAAGAACAAAACATGAACGACAATGGAACTGGAGTCTGCAGATAGTGTGGCCAAGTTCTTTGTTTAAACTATGTGATTGGTATAAATCAGTGAACTTTCACGAAACGAAATTCAAAATTCGTTTGAAAGTCACATCTACTGTAAATAATAGCTTGTAGTGAATGTTTTGATAAACTAGACGATGAACGAATGTAGAAATATCCGCGATGAAAGTATTACTACATCGCATTATTGAAAGAATTATTTAACTTACCAAGTTTCCAAGAAACACGCTCGTGATTCAGTTTCATTCTTTGAGCCAATAAGTTACCTAAACCGACTTGTAAGTGACATCACTGATTTAACACTCCATCAAAATACCTTTCTTTACTTGGACAAGTTTTTTTCATCTATACACACCAGACAGATTGAACCCCTAATTTCACTTGGACATTACAGCATCAGAGCTTCTATGGCCAAGGAAACAGTTTCAGCCATGCAGGAGTTTCCATGATGAAGACTGATGATCTTGCATGACCAAGAAGCTCGAATACAAAGTAGAAAGCTCTTACTAATATATCGGTTGTGGATGTAATTGAAAAACGTCTTTAATTTAAATCTGTAAGGTCAGTCAGAAACTGCACGTGAGTCATTCATATAAAGCCTGGTTAAATTCTAAACAGACAAGGAAATTTGGCTGCATCCGTTTCCTTTGCAGGTGTTTTTACAGGCTTTTCCACAGAACGATTAGAATCGAACGATGCATAAGATTTCAAGAGAGGCCAGACTATCAGGATAATTAAATACATCAAGAGCCACCTCTATTTGTTTCTCTTTCATTTTGAACTTTTCACAGTAAGTTTTCGCAAATGACCGCACGACTCAGTTGAACTAGTTGCAGCAAAATGGGCTTCAGAGCGATAATGTTTTGAGTCAAGACGTACACAAGAACAGGAACAGATGAAGTTGTATTTCGCTTAAAACTAAGATCTTTGATTGACCTAGCTAGGTTGTAGCAGTGTAGTTCTTGGAATTTCCAACCCAGACAAATGTTTGCAACTAACATATCTTTACCATTTCGACGTAAAAAGGGAACAACTCAACTCAAGTCTGCCTCCCCCGTTCTAAGTCTGCTTTCCCCGTTCTAAAGAGTAAGGTTAATAAAAGCTGAGAGTAGCGAGCATACTGGATAAGGAAATATCACTCGACTATCAACACCTTTGTGCCCTTGAGTCAACTTGAAATTCCCAGAAAACTAAATTATTAAATCTTTTAAGTTATGAAGTTGGAGCATATAGTGAACTGAAAGCCAGCGTCAAAAAAGCCTTCTTTTTACAGAGTTTACTTCTCTTATTATCAAGTCTGCCTCCCCCGTTCTAAAGAGTAAGGTCAATAAAAGCTGAGAATAGCGAGCATACTGGATGAGAAAACATCGCTCGACTGTCAATAACTTTGTGCCCTTGAGTCAACTTCAAATTCCAAGAAAACTAAATTATCAAATCCTTTACGTTCTGAAAATGGAGCTTGTGTTGAACTGAAAGCCATCATCCAAAACCCCTTCATTTTACCGAGGTTCACTTCTCTTATCAAGTCTGCTTCCCTCGTTCTATTTCTCTTAAAACTCTTGGTCCATTCTCAAAAGCAGTGAAAATATTATGCAGTCAGTGTGCAGTATGAATATCTAATCAGCACCGAAGGATCGTCGCGTCGGTTAAGAACCCGTGGTCAGAATCATGGCCTTCACCAGTCTGTACGTAGCAGTGTATCTACCTGCTTATTGCGGTCTTCAACTTGTCCTTATCAATTTTGGAAAGTAACTAAGAAAAGATCTGAGAGGAACTGAAAATAAAGTGCTTAGATTATTCATTCAAATAAAATAGTTCGATAGCAATCTTGCTCCAACCCAGTTGAAATTGCTGTAAGTAGGGGATTTACATGTGCACGCGGCATTTAAAAATAAATCTGGAATATAGGTCTTTTAAGTAAGTCGGGAGGTAATGCACCTTAGCCTTCATTGCCATCTAGCTGGATCATCGAAAGGACGCGGAACCATTGTTTCTCGTAATATGACCCTAGAACGCAAGATTTAATTGTTTGCTACAATATTGCCCACAACTCAGTTTTACCGACGTTGTTTTTAATACGCAGTTATAACATAACAACTCACCTTTACTTTCGACTTATTCACCAGAACAAGTAAGACACAATGACAATACCTTTCAAGCTGTTGCGGGCTGATGGCGAGGGATGCGCGCAGCTTACTCTGTTTCCAATCGCCGCAATTACGCATGTCTTTCAGCGATCACCTGCGCTTTGTCCACAATTGACCAATCAATTAAACTAGAATCATCATGGACACGTCAAGCAGGTTTTATTGCACTAGCAGGAAGAGCTTTGTTATGGCGAGCTGTCTGTATGTTTGTGTGACCTGTTATGAAGGATAAGATGTGACCGTGGTTGTAGAAGGAGATAATCAGTGTTTAGTTGGAAGAAAGGGCCGTTGTTTTTCAATAGTTTCTCATCACGCAACTATGCAGGAAACAAGACTTAGAATTCGAGTAGTCGTTTCTACAAAGAGGCCGAAAACTTCGGTATTAAAGTCTTCATCTTCTAACTTCGTTTTGAGAATAACTTCCCTCTTTTAGTGGCTCTTGCTTAAGGAGGCTCAAAACCGTTTCCAACAATTTCCAAGACTTAGATTTTGATGGGTCACTGTAATTATGTTGACGCTATGATCATGGAATCAAAATACTGCCTAATCATTGGTGGACACGCTGTTACCATTTTTCTGACACAATAGATTACCATATAACAATATGGCCTGCTAAAACACTGTTAATTTTAGCTTAACTCAAAAACGAGCTCGGTGACCCCTCTCTGTTGTTATCTAATTTTGATTCAAAGGGGAAGACACAACTTTTGGCAAAATTTAGAAAAACTCTGTACATGGGCTCACAGCCACCCTAAATTTTCGAAAGTTAGAGGAAACTAAAAAAGGAAGGGCTGAGAATAGTCTACTTGAGACACCTTTTGATAATCAATGGCCCATTTCTGAGTTGCCTTTAGCTTCTCTATCAGAGCAAGGCCTGGTGCACAACCATTCATATGAAAATGATTTTAATTTCAGAAGGAAAAGAAAACAAACAGCGGTTACGCACATATTCAAACTAGACAACGCATGGTCTAAAAAAACTTACTCACGTCTTTTGACAGCAATAAATGTTTGAGTGGTGGTCCGCTGTTTCAAGTACACCCTATCAAATCTCGACTGGTGGATTTACATAAATGAGCTGGAGTGACATCAAGGCAAAGTATTTTGTCATACTGGCCCTGCCAATACTCTTGACTTCTTTCTAGCTGATAAGAACAATCAGCCGAGAATATCTAAGTTAGTTGCCAGTTCAGAAAATAATGCAGCACATTACCTCTGGTTTCTGTAACTTGAGTGTCTAGAGGTATATCGACCCCTAAATGGGATAATAGTCCATCGCGGTGGATACACCATTTGCCAGTACTCACTTCAGTAAACACCGACTATCAGGGAAAAATGTGGTTGAGACACTGCCCGGCGTAATCCTGTTTCGATCCTAATTGGGCCGGGGGGGGGGNGGCGAAGGAATGTGGTGGCTATTGACGAAAAGGTATTTTCCAGTCTTTCTGCCAAGGGAAGCACGAATCTCTGTTCGAGAACCGAGAACGTTTTATTTGCGAAAATGATGAAGAGCTCGAAAGCCACTGTGATACTAATTTAAATTGCCTTGCCCAGCTGAACACAATGCAATGACCTCAGCTACTAGGATGACTTAATCTAGAGTCCATATATAAATAACCACATCCCAGTTATATTTGTCCTTTACGTATGTCAAAATTACATGTAAAACTATACCAAATTAACCTTGTTTTGTATATCTATGTTAAAACGAAATAACTCTATCGAAATATAGAAGTACAAATGATCTTTTGCTATTTTCTAAGTAATATTACAGAGCAGAATTATATTTGACCAAGAAAAAAATAAATGTTAGAGAAATTAAAACTGTTCTCTTTTAGTAAGAGATCATCAATGTATACCTAATCTCTTGTTTATAGTTATGAAGCTATGACGTTCAACCTGAACCTACGGGGCCAACCTACAGTAGTTGAAAATGTACGAAAGTAGCGTCCGCTATCAAGTTCTTGTTCGTATCAAAATTACCAGAAAATGGCGAAGTAAGGATCTATATACATTTGCATAGCAAAAATCGAGAAATTCTGTCTTTGCTTGTCTACTGCTATTGATAGAATTACAAGCAAGGCGGGTTTTCTTTGTCATTCACTGACGTCCAATATGAGTTAAATAAAACCGCAAGGACACATCATTCACAGGATAAAGTTGTCATATGTCATGATAAGCTATTAAAGAATAAATTCATCAGGGCTGAAGAAGCCCGAGTAAGCCGGTGGGAAGGCGAATCCGAAGGCGGGAAGTCAACAGGCGAAAGAAAAAAACTCGACAAATCTCCAGCTTGTCTTAATTAGATCCTGATAAGGTAACTACTCTCCAAACTGGCTAAGTTAGAGTTACAGAGTCCGGAGGAGACTTAGGTTCGATTTCCGCCACTTTCTCGAGTCCGGTTCGGGGAAGGAGTGCGGGCTCCTTGCCCGAACAGCGGCTGGTAATCGAGCCTAGAGGAGACTCCATATAAAAAGGACGGGCGTGCTCGTTGGAAATTTTGAAAAGAACCCCTGAGGGACACCAAGATCCTGTTTTGTGGGCGTGGCTTGAATTCGTTTTGTTTTTTTCACTCTTAAGAGGTACCAATTCTAAAACAACGCTTTTTTCTCCTGTCATATTTTTTTCGGTTCAATACCCTAAAAGGAAGTAACAGAGAAAGCTTCCGGTGTGGATCTTTTGAGACTGAACACCCTAAGTGATACAAAACCGGTTTTTTAACCCCTAAAAGTTAGGACGAGCACCCCTGTCCGTTTTATATGGGAGTTCCCCCGGGATCCAAAGCCGGGAAGTCAACAGGCGAAAGAAAAACCCTCGAAAAATCTCTGGCTTGAAAAAGACACCAACACCGTCTTAGGGCTATAAGGTTATCACTTTCTGAACTGGCCGGCTAAGCTAGGGTGGCAGAGGCTGTCCTGCCATGATATCGCAGGCACGTCACTCACTCCATAAGCTATTACAAAGGAACATCACCACTCGTCATTAAAACCAGTCTAGATACAGCTCGAGTAAACATGATGTAATTACTCGAGAGATCATTGTTAAACCACGAAATAGCAACTACGACTGGCCACTCATATGAATGAGCTCTGTGTCCAAAGTCAAGGACTACTGCATTCTTCTGGTTGTCGGCTATATCACAAACTGCTATCCCTTTCTGAGCCATAAGATAACCCAACCGCTCCTTGGGGAAAGACTTCGTGACAAGGACAGCAACGCGGTGAAGGGAATCACTTCCTGCCCACTTGTTGATCTCATCTTGGACGACTTGAGTGATAAAATCAAAATCCGAATTCTTCACAGGTACCACTGTAACGGAAGGTCCACAAATGTGGTGACCGAGGTGGTTTGAAACATCATAATTCTCCACGAATTGGGTAAAAATTTCTTTTGTTTCTTTTCCAATGTGATCAAACCGAGGAAGCTTTAATCTCTGCAGTAAATCAAGAAGAGACACTTTAACAAACTCTTGTACAAAGGTGTAAACTTCAAAAGTGGATCTCACTATTGTTTTAAGGCAGGGCGCATGATAAATGTTGTGGGTTTTGCAGAGTTCACGAGCTTGAGTTTGAATTTTCAATGCATCAGCTAGTCCCCCTGTTTCATCACGAGATGATTCATCTTCGTTCCTTTGCATGTAATCATATGCAACCCAGCAATAATAATCAAGATCTGCCATTCGGCTCAGAAGGTTCCCCAACTGAATCAACACGTCAGGAATTTTGGCTTCAAAGGCCTGCAGCTCATCAGCAAAGAAGTGAAACTTCACGGCAGGATCGCATCTTTGAAAGAACTCGGAAATGCCGGCCGGAGACACGACTTCGACTCCACTTGAAATGCTGTTTTTTGCAAAAAATTCCGTGTAAAGTGCGGCTAGTGAAGAGGGAACCACAATAACAACCTTCTGTCCCTGCTTGGCACATTCCAAAGCTTTGAACTGGAGCAAAATTGTTTTTCCGCTTCCGGACGAACCGTTAAAGAATTGTTGGCGTGGGCCATTCCATATTCGTAGCTGATCAGGATTCAAGAACAAAAATTGTTTTGCCAAGATAGCCTGCTCCGGTCGATCAGCTGTCTTCACAACCACTTGCGACCCATCCCCACCTTGCTTGGTACCCCTTTCGTAGCTCTTCTGAAGGAATTTCTGCTGATCAATCTTCTTGCAAACATCTGAGAGCACTTTGGAGCTGACTTCGCAACGCTGGCCAACAAAAATGTAAATCAAATTCTGCAACTGTCGCTTTTCGTGGCTGTCAAACGTCCGTTTAGCAAATTTGTCTTCCCACCAGCTGACAAAATTTCCATCCGATTGCACGTTTTCTTCTCGAAGACTGATAAAATTTTGATTCTCGCGGCCTGGCTCACTGACGTTTGGCATTGCAATTACTTTATAAACAGGAATGGTAGATTCCTTGTAACCAATCTCGTGTGAAAGAGCATGAATTATTTCTTCTCCAATTTGAAGTTGTTTTCTCGCTTTGCTTTGAGTTGACTTACTGAACTTCTTTGGTGCTTTGACCTCGATAAGTATAATACCAATCTGCCGGTGAATGATCAGAAAGTCGATTTCTCCGTCGAGATTCAACAACTTGTCTGTCAAAATGGAGTGATTGGCAGGCAGCTTTTGTCGAAGAACATTTTTGATGAATTCGGTGATTTTTACCTGCGCTAGAACAAACATCGGCTGATTAGTTTCTTTCCCGAACTTTTCCAGCATGTGAAAGATTTTCAGTTCGGCGTTATCTCCATGAATGCTCGCTTTTTCGATGTTATTAAGCGGAGTCGCACCAGAAGCTTGACCAGTTGGCGCGATATAACCAAACGGAAAAGCCGAAGGGCACATAACTGTATCGTGGTCTGATGAATCTACATAGTCGGGATGAATTCCGCTGAAGTAAGCTTCGCAAGCTTGCGTCAAGTCAGAAAAATATTGGCCCGCCGGCCCTTTAACAAAGGCAGAAGCCTCCATTGCCCTTCAAGAATGTTTTAAGCTATACCGGAAGACACACATAGAAGAAGGCAGGTCATTAAAAATTTATCACTTTCGTTTTGATAACAAAAACAAAAATCCCATGTCTTAATTGAATTTCAGTTTCATGTGGCTTAGGGGAATTTTTTTGTTTTTCTGTAAAAGAACTTCCAAGTTAAGATTGGCTTGAGGGATTTCATTTCGGGACCTGAGGGGCTGTTTAAGAGACCTCCAAACCTAGTTACTAGTAGCAGACGCTCTTTGGGTTCGCCAAACAATCTTGTTTCCCTACGTGGGGAAGGAAGATTGCGTGACGAGCCTAATGAGCGTTTGCGTACGAGGCTATGCCTAACTAGTACGAGGCATACTCCAGGTCATGGACTCCTGATACCCTCGTGTGCTATTCCATGCTGTTGCTTGCAACGAGAGAAACGTTTCCTGGGTGTTGCATTACGCTTACTACGTGACGCAATTCAGCTCGTTCGAAGGCCGTGACGTTTTAGCAGCCGCTCCAGCTTCTCTGTCCGAAAGAGACTAAGGCCTGACTACTCGAGTCACCATTCCGTTCCTACGAGCAATTTGACCACCGCTGTTTTCGAAAATACAGCTTTTTCATTTTCGATGGCTCGGTCACCAGTGTCCAGTCTAGGTGAAATTTTGAGAAAGGATGGTTCAGTCACGATGGTTGGGGTTCAGCGACCCAGAAGTCCAAAAATGGTCGACAAAAGGTTTACGTTTGCGGGTGGAAAAACCGAAGATTGGAACACTGTGTCAAATGCCGTGACTGCTCTCTTTCAACGAAAGAAGTTAGCAAAATTAGAATTAAGCAGTCTGACAGAAAAGGTAAAATCAGTTAAACTTGAAATCGGTGGGCCCACGATATGCGAGTGGTTCAAGGAATCGCTTGTAAAGGGTATGATTATTCTACGCGAAGATGTGAAAGACAAAAATGGCGAAGTTCTTCTTGACAAGCTGGCTGATAGTTGGACCTATTTCTTCTGTACGATATTGCCATTACTTCAAGCAATTTTCTTTGATATACAGTCTCGCGAAGCCCAGTCTACAAGGTCTATTGCCCTTTTAAACTTTCGAGATGTTGTTGTGTTGAAAACCAAACTGGAAGAAGCGTTTGTTATGGATTTAACTGTTCCACCTAAAGTCGTACAGATGTTGTTGATTTTGCAGGTGAGACTGAGAATGTTTATTTTTTACATTTTTTCGGTTGCTAGAAAGATATCTTTGTACAAGGCTGTATTGTCATATTCCTTAAAAAATGGATTGGCTATATTGCATTTCAGTTTGTGTTGTGTGACTCTGATTGGTCAATCTGATTTTCAGGCACGCTTTATCAGCTGCCACCATTTAAACAACAAATTGACCTCATTTTATCATAGTCTACACACTCTAGACCATAGAAATGTCATAACAAGATGTTGAAAACTCAATTAGATCTATTCCCTTTAAGTTAATTTCTCTGATGTCATTTCTTTCGTCTATTTATGAGCTCAAGACTTTTTTAACAATTAGATTATGAGCTCAAGATTTCTATCATGCATAAAATTCAAGAGCGAATAATCCAGTTGCTTCAGTACAAATCCATCAGTCATTCAAAACTTAAACAACAAGACTGGTTCACAGTCACTTTGGAAACTGCCATTTTGTTGACAACCACACAGTGCTGGGCTATTCACTATCTACTTAACAGCTAGATTATGAGCTCAAGATTTCTATTTAAACAATGGAGTGTATCTGTCAAGGAATTATTAGCTGATAGTTGCCCTGCAGAAATTTGAAGTTCTTTAAACAAATATTTGCCCGAGAAGCGAAGCTTCGAGAGCAAATATGTTAGTTTTAAGAACATCAAATTTCCAAGGGGAAACTATCAGGCCGATAGTTCCAAGGCATAAACACTCTATTGTCTTTATTGTTCACCACTAAATTTTCTTCTGCGCGCTAGATCAAAACTCATACAGAATTATTTTCTAATTTTCTGGATGAAAGCCGTGAAAGCCAAATGTGAAATTTGAAAAAGAAAACAGAACAAAACCCACTTAATACAATAATTTCAGTTGTTTTTTTTTCTGGAAGCCTGCATATTTTCATGGAGTACTATCCATCTGGGTATTTTCCTCAGACGGGCACTATGGGCTGATAGTCTCTCTCCATGGATGAACACTATCACGTCACGTGATCAATTTAAAGCAATAAGAATTGGAGAAAATTTGGTGGCCAACTATAAGAGGTGATAGTTGATGAGACCGAAGGCCAAATCAACTATCACCTCATAGAAATCGAGTAGAATTCTAACTAAATTTCCTTCAAATAATGATTTCCAATCACTTCTCAACTTAGTATTACATTTCATACTTCAGCAAAATAGCGCAGATTGAATTGTTATTTGAAACTTGCAGTTTTACACGCATGCTCATCAGTTCAGTTTGGTCTAGGATCGGGTGTAATTTAGGGGGAAAGTGGCCAGTGTATAAATAATTTAGTCTAGAACAAGGTTTTTTACCTAGGGTTCTATAATAGAAATTGAAACTTGGAAGTGTCTTTGTACAATATTGGTTTAATAGTTAGTTTATATTGGACTATGATTCATAGCGATAAAGTTTCTGTTTTGAAAATAGCTAGTCTGGGATAGGGGTTTTTGGCACCTAGTCTAGAATACGTTTGCAAAATCAAGCTGATCATTGTCTAGTATTGGGTAAGGGTTTCAGAGTCCCAACAGCCCACCCCCACCCAAAGGTTTATAAAGTACCCCCCTCCCCTGGGATACCAGTAGATTTATACTAAGGGATGATAGGGTGACAAGGCTGAAGGCTAAACCAACTATAACCTCAAGTAGAAATCAAGTGTCATTAATTTGATTGTTTTAAAGCAAAATTGAGCAGACTGAATCATAATCATTTTAATTTATAACTTGCAGCTGTTTCTGCACATTCATCAGTTCATTAGTAAAATTTTGAGGATTTAGATTTTCCTACAGGGGGCATGCCTTAAAACTGAAAATTATGTGAGTTTATTTATTGAAATTTCCAGTTGCTATGGAGCACTTGGGGCTTTCATATTTTCCATTAGGGTATCTGTTTTAGGTCAATTTTTTCTTTACATCAGAATGAACCAATTTTTGAAACCAGCCTTTTTTAAAATTTTTTTTTTGTTTTTTCAGGGGCGGGGGTCTTAAAAGAACAACATATACACCACCAACCCCCCTCAGTTTTTAACCCTACCCTACCATGCCAGGATCCCATAGTCACCTGTGGGTATACTGTCACCTGTTATAGTTCATCGCTTAATTTTCTGGAATTCCTAATGGTTTAAATTGATCATGTGATGCGATAGTGTTCACTGGCAGAGAGACACTATTTAAACAATAGAGTGTTTCTGTTGAGGCACTATCGGCTGATAGTTGCCACAAGGAAATTTGATGTTCTAAAAACAAATAGCTACCATTGAAAGGAAGATTCTAGCGAAAATATGCTAGTTTTAAGAACAACAAACTTTTAAGGGGTAACTATCAGATTGATAGTTCTGAGACTAAAACACTCTGCTGTCTTTATTGTTCAGCATTATATTTTCTTTCACACACAAGTTCAAAATCATATTGAATTATTTTCAACTTGTTTACATGAAAGCCAAATGTAAAATTTGAAAAAGAAAACAGACAAAAACCTACTTTATACAATTTCAATTGTTTATTTTCTATAAGCCAACTTGTTTACAGAAAAAATTTTCACTGATGAGTTCTATATCCATCCATGTTTTTTCCTCAGACGGGCACTATGGGCTGATAGTTCTCTCCGCAGATGAACACTATCACATCACATGATCAATTTTACAAATAAGAATCAAAGAAAATTTAGTGGTGAACTATAATTGCCCATGGTAGTCGTCCAAGTAAAATATCCAGATGGATAGTATTTGCTCGTGAAAATTTTTCTTTAAGCAAGTGTGCTTAAAGAAAAAAAATTGAAAGATGCAATTTGTTTGTTTTCTTTTTCAAACTTTACATTTGGCTTTCACACCTTTCATCTAAAAAAGTTTATTAAAAATAATTCAACATGAGTTTTTGACTGGTGCACGGAAGAAAATTTAGTGGTGAACAATAAAGACAATATAGTTTTTTTTGTTGAGGAACTATCGGTCTGATAGTTACACCTTGGAAATTTGATGGTCTTAAAACTAGCTTATTCTGCGGGGCAACTATCAGCTGATAGTTCCTCAACAGAAATGCTCTATTGTTTAAATAGGGTCTGTGTGAGGTCATACCCAATTATCAGTTTTGACCAGTTATGACAATTAAGTGATAACTATAACTTACAGTGAATAGACAACACTCACTATGATGGCTATGCTATCAGTGTAGACTGTCTGTAATGCAGACAATTTAAGTGATTATCACCAATGCTTAACTGGAGACTCAATATTATTTTCTTTTACAGAGTGTGCACGATGACCAGAATAGCAGAAACTACAGAAAGCTGGAACATCTTATCTCTTATACTGTGTCACCTTACTTAAGTTCAACAGGCTTGCAACCAAAACCGTTGAAACAAACTGTAGAATCTACAGCAAGTAAAGATGAAGATTCACAAGAACCAAGTACTGTGACAGAAAAAGTAGCAGAAACTGTGAGACAATCTAATAAGAAACCTCGTCCCATCAGTGTTGGGAACTCCTTGGAACTTCAGTCTAGGTATTCGGCTGACAGACTTCATGAGGCTGCGCTTCAATCAGGACAAAACAGACGCTTTACGTATACATCTGATTGTTTAACTGATTCATCTCGGAGTTCTGTGTTTGGCTCTAGCTCATCTACTGTCACCTAGAGCTACTATAATGGTTTAAAGGACTCTTTGTCACCAGTCAGTTGACACAGGACGCACAGTGCCTACTGCAATAGTCGTTGCATCAGGCTTGAGTTTTACAGACTGAAGTTAAGACTTCAAGCTTGCTTGAGAGGCCTTTGTCTTCATGTCGTGACAACTGACTCTTGCAGTTCTGTCTTATGCCAGGGGGTAATGAACAGGGACGGTGTGACCTGTCATAGGTTATATCCTCCCGGAGAAGTGTCTATTCACTTCATGCAATAAAACTCTCGAGAAAAGCAAATTGAAGATGGTCTCTTTGAGTGCTTTGTCCTTTAAATTGATCCTAATCATGTCAAAAAGTGAGCAATTTGCAAAGAATATATCACACAGGAAACTTGATAATTTAAGTTGTATGTCAGTCACCACTTCTCATGTATACAGTTCACAGAACAACATTTTCAGGCCCTTCATGAAGCAAATCAGAACAGTGTGAAAATCAGAATTATCTTACTTGTGGACTGCAATTGTGTCATGAGTGAAAACTAATCAGATGTGAGATAAATCAAATGCAAATACTAACAGCAATGATCCCTGTGGCTGGATTTATCATCTGGCATTCTGATTAAGCAATAAATTATTCAATAAAAAACCTTGCATAACTTTGTCATCCAATGAAAAGTAAAACCAACTTCAACTGTAACTCACTAGACATGTTTTCTCACACCTTGTGTCAGCTACGTGTTTTTTCTTTGAGTTTTGATTGGTTCACTGGATTGTGATTGGCCAGATTTGTCGGATTTGGGGTGAATGAAGTGATTGTGGTAGAAAAATCAGATATCCTTTAAGACAGCTATGGTATTTATACATCACTGAACTCTCTAAGGAAAAGTGCACTCCAGCCTTTCCACTCCTGTCTCAAACTACATGGTAGAGTTTCTTTGACACAGGGGCGGATCTAGGGGGGGGGGGGGGGGGGGTGCAGGGGGTGTGCACCCCGCCGAAATGAAGACTTCTTCTTTGTATTCACTTTCAAAATTTGTTTACCTCGCCATTCAGTTATGCCATTCCTTAGTGGTGCACCCGCTCCTAAGAAAAATCCTCGATCTGCCCCTGTGACCTTGTTAAATAACTATACATGACCAGGATTTTAATAGCTTACATGGCTGACAGGAGTGTTATTCACACAAGCGCCAAAATCATGACAATATAGAGTAAAGATACTGTTTCATGACAATATGGTTTGCCATCCGGGATTCCACTGGCTTCAATGAACACAATCATGTTTTGTCCATTTTCTCTTCTCATGTCGTCTGTGATTAAAGGTGGCTCCATACAGTTCATTTATCGCGTTGCGTGCTCGGGTTTTTTTCTGCGTGCTATGTTTTTGCGTTCGTTTTTACACCCAGTCCTTTCAAACGTATTAAATGTAATAGGCAATGATGAAATAGTGTCACCTCCGTTAAAATCTTGGCTTTTAGTCTTGAATTATAAATGCACAAACAAATGCGTTTTTTTCCGTTTATGTGACTATATTTGTGCTATCTTAAATTTCCTTCGGTGAAATCTTCCAAAATTTTCACAGAACATCGAATCGGGTGGGATACGAATCTTAAACTTGAAAAAAGGGTGAAAAAAGTAGGGTTGTACCGACAGGTTTTTTGAGACTTTTGCAAATATTGATATGTCTTTTACCGGTTAACCTGAAAAAAGAGCTCGAGCTAAAGTAAAATATCGATTACCAGTTGGCCAAATTTTACGGAATTTCCGAGTCACCGAAGGAAACGCGAGAAAATTCACTTCAGTTTTGCTTTTTGTGCTCATGCTGTCGCTGATAAAGGATATCGAAATATGCTGAAGTTTCCTTTCTAATTCTTTTTATTAATATTTTAAAAAACTCAAATGAGATCAGGGATTGGCCGGAGAGAAGAAATTTTTACCTTGAAATGGGTGATTTTGGTACCTTCTTGGGTTGTAAAGTTTCTCTGTTGTATTCTTTGCTGGATTGAGTCATGTTAGGAACAAATTAGAATTAAACTTTGTGATTCCAATTCGAAATCGATGTTTGAGCATCTATTGCGAACAGAGCATACATGTATCTATAATAGATAAAGCTAAGCAATGTACTGGAGGCTGTTTGTGGTGCAGTGATATCGATAAAATGGCTAGTGGCAAAATGGCTAAACCCTCCATAACCAGAAGTACAAATGGGTGTCAGAAAACTGGTAAAGCACCCTAATATAATGCTTAAGGGTAATAACATTTTTAAGGGACAAACTGTCATCTATAAGAAGCTACTTTGGAGATCGTCCACAAAATGGCAGTGTTTTATCACTTTCTCTGAGGTTTCGAGGAAGATTTAGAAATGTCACTGGGTTATTCAGTTTCCAAGAAAACTCAAAAATGGAGATTGAACTTGCGTTTAAAACCTCAAAATTATCCAATGAACTGATGAAAGTCATGAAAATCATGAAATTATGCGAACGGACAGCTGCAAGTTTCAAACAACAATTTAGTCTACGAGGCCGTCTGCGAGTTGATCTGGCCTTCGGCCTCATCAACTATCATCTCTGCCATAGAAATCTTGAGTTCATAATCTAATTGCCAATTAGTATAGGCCGTGCAAGTGCTAGATTTCGTGCAACTCTGGAAAAATAAATAAGGAAAACGAAATAAAATGGGAAATGAAATGCGTAAAAAGAAACTGGTAACAAAAATGCACGCATGTCCGCTTCTGTTTACCAGTGACGTCACGGATTGAGCGAATATCAATCGCAGGAACTTTTTTCCATGCTAAAAGTCGAGGGAAACTTTCCTCGAAGCAGAGGAAAACGTCCTCTGTAGCCGCCGTTTTGGCGGTGCAGTTTAATTCTCGACTGTGTTAGCCTTTCTACCAGTCATCATTATGGGTGGCTGTATGGGTACATCGCGAGATCCCAGTGTGCGAGTCAGTTCCAGCGATCAATTTGGTAGTACTCCAGGAGGTTGTTATCAAAAAATGCACAAGTGTTGTACCTTGATATGTTCGCTTGGCAAGGTTTTGGGACCAGCCTAAACGAGTAGCTTAAAATTTTTATTTTTCTTGCAGTCACTCTGGGTCGCAATCAACCACTGAAGAAAGAGAGGCCGCCATGGACTTCCGAAATGCCGCTAACAGAAGGCCAACTACGTAGCAAAAGAGATGAGTTTTGGGAAACTGCTCCAGCTTTCGAAGGGCGGAAAGAGATTTGGGATGCCTTGAGAGCGGCAGCTGAAACAGACGATCATACGTGGGCTCAAGCAATCGTAGATGGAGCAAACATAACACTTCCCACAGGTAAGCGCTCGGCAAGCTTCAAGTCGACTGAAGCATGGCGAGAACATATATATCTCAGCTCAAGTCACGCAAGAAATACCTTGGCAGTTTGCATTTTTCCTGTACTGTTTTCGCTTTAAATTTCGTAGATATTCTTACGAGTATTAAGCGCGTTTTCACATCTTATTAAATACGCCTTCAGCGGTCTACGTGACCACAGATAGACACCGAAAAGTTAGGAAACAATATTTTTGTTGTCAAGATGGCTGCTATCAGCTCACGGCATTTAAATGCATTCAAGCACAAAATGAAGTCTTTTCGCTAGAGATTGATGCCCGATTACAAAAATTTGACAGGGTTCGCTAACAGATTATGCTCTCAAAACCCTACATTTAAAAACATTTGATCCCAGGTCGTAGTATCGTAGCTAGACTGCTTAACTCAAACAAATTGTAAGACATAAGATTTAAACAATACAAGGGTCGAGACATCACTCAACGAAAATGATTCCTGTCATTGATTGTAAATGTGAAGACTAGACGATCGGGTGTAGCAGAAATTTCACTTCCCAGGTGCTGGTCCGTTAGAAAAAGTATAATGGTTTTCAAAATGTACTAAATTCGTGTCTCGACGTGCGAAAGAAACCAACAAATATTTCACACCCGTGCTAAATTGTTACAAAATTGTAGTTTTTGCATATTTACATTTGAGTATACTCTGCTTTCGATATTCAGGGATTATTCCTTTTGCGAGCTAACAAGCAAAATGAATGGTTTTTTAATCTGTAAAATTCTTGATAGTTGAAAGTGAAATGTTAATTTCTTGCAAGAGCGTATTAATTAAGTTATTCAAGATTTCTTGATATGTAGTCGATCACTTGGAAACTGAAAGGCAATATCACTTAGTAGTGTTATCTCTGGAAAGATCTCTTTGTACGTGGCCCAGTTACTGAGCAACAGAACTGCCGACCCCCTGAGAAAAATTAAATCTGGAAGTTACTTTCAAAATTTTATGTCACTTAGGGCTAATGTTAAGTAAACAAAGGGACTGGGTGGCTTTGAAGGGAAGATTGGCCTTTTGTTGGGCAAAAAAGATAGAAAATGAGATACATGTAACTTTCATCATCATTACTTCCAATTCTCCAAGAGGTTTCTGTAATAAGCTCTCTTTTACAGGATAGGGTTATTAGGGGGAGGGAGGGGGTCACTCTTCATATGGACTCTATAGTGCATATGCACTCACGTGTCCAACAGCCATGCAAATTTATTGGAGCAAGAGAAATTGTTTGCATAAGAAAAGAGTTGAACTCCCACAGGATTGGTTTGGTACACCAACATGGCTGCCGTTTCATTGTTTTGCAACACCGATATGGCTGCCATGACATTGTGTGCATATGCTCCATCCTTTAACTAGCCTGTGAACACAGATGGATTTCTAGCATTTGTTTCACACTGCAGACTGGCGTCATGGAAATTGCCTGTGGAGTCATTTTCGCAGATGGTATTTTTCGGCGGCATGAGACTAAAGCTGAAAATATGTCTGTGTTCGCAAGGTACCCTTTGACCAATCCGGCAAGGCTGAACGTGCCAGTAATTGGAGCCTCCTCAGTGGCCATAGCTCTAGGCTTGTGTCATTCAGGGCTCACCACTGTAATAAGGCGATGACCCAAGGTGACTCTAAGCTTACTGGATATCTTTTTATTATTAAGGATCTTTACAAGATGCCTATGATGAACTTGGCAACAGATATGTTCTTCCAGTTTACTGTTTAAGCAAGCCAACAAATCTAATTAAAGATGAAGATGTAAGTGGTGAGGCTAGCACAGAAGCAGACGAAGAAGAACCTGTGCCGTCAGGAGAAGAACTGTACATTAAACTTCGCTTATCATCTGGCAAGGACCTGAAAATGAATGTTTATACTTCTGACACTGTACTGAAAATTAAGAAAAAACTTCATCAATTGGAAGGGATTGAGCCTTCAAAGCAAAGATGGTTTTATGCTGGAAAAATCTTGACTGATAAGACAACAATAGGCGAAGCAAAAATCCCCAAAGGTTATGTTGTACAAGTGATTTTACCTCAGCCCACACCTGTGGAGAACTAGAAAGCTGTTGGCTTTAGTGCAAGGGAATTATTTTGTTACGATATTTGGCACGGATTGTATTTCATGGCAGCTTATTTACTTGTAGTAATATCAAGCTTTGTAAAACTAAAAAGCCACATGCTAAGATGTAAACTATATAAATTAGCATCAGGAATTCTCGAGGTAAGATTTCCATGAAGTGATGCTGATGCATGCCACACAGAAATGAACCTCTGTTTTCCCATTTTCTAATTTCTAAACACAAAACGTTACCACTCCAAGTGGTATAAACAAAGCCATAATGGTGGCATAAGCTCTACAATAAAGGGAATCCCCCACCCCACCCTAGCCCTCCAGGCTGTTGAAGGCCTTGAATGATAATGACAAAAGTACATTATTGCACTAATAATTTACAAGAGAATGTATATTAAGGAAGTCACAATAAGCTGCAAGTTTGCACTGAGTCCACAGCTTAAATAACCCAATTAGGAGTTAATCAACTTCCACTGAATAAAAAGACTCGCAACTCATTCTCAGCGGGGGGGTACTCAGATATAAAAGTGACAGGGAGGTGTAAAGACCTTTTTAGGGTTTGAAATTCAGGGTCTGACGACTTTTTTGAGTTAAAAATTTCACAACTTTTTTTGGGTAAAGGACTTTAGTAAGGAATTTTTGGGGGTTCTCTCATTTTTGTCGCAAGCCATTATCAGTTCCTTTTTTGATTTGTTTTAAGGTGGATGGAAAACATCCATGTTTGGAATGTTCTTTATTTTTTCATTATATTGTTTTTATTCACAGAAATAGAACTTTTTTCATTGTTTTTGGCTGCTGGACTTTCTTGGGTCTTTTCCCATTTGTGATGGGCCCTTCATTAGGTTTGAGGATTTTGCCTGCCATTTGCCCTTCCCTATTCCTATTATATGCGAATACCTCCCATGTGGACTCATTGGTCCAATCTGAAGTAAAATGTTTGCAAAATACCAGAAAATAAATGCTGAAGCTTGAGATGAAACAATGCACAGATTTGCTGGTAGCTTAATTAAGTTAATGTTCTCAATGGTATTTGCAAATATTTTATAGATTGAGACAAACACGGGACAGAAGTACCTTATGCCTTTTATTCAATGGTCTTAGTTAACTTGAAACTGGTGTACTATGTAATTACTAACTGCAGAAGTTAAAAATTTGCATATGGATGCCAAAATGCTAGTAGATTGAAATCCCATTTACATGTATATAGTTTGAGAAAATAGATGTCAGACTTGAAGTCTACATAATTTGATCCCTCAGAAACTGACGAAATTTGAGCCAAAGAACCCAATCTTTATGCTTAGTCATCTGTGAAGTATGTTTTGCTCAAGTCTCAATGTTTTTTTTTTTACATAGGTTATGCAAATAAGTATGTCTCTGGCTAAAATCAGTGCCTATATATGTACAGTCACATAAAATTTAAAAATTAAATATGAAGCAAAGTGTCATATAATTTAACTGGAGTTTGGTTCTGCCATTGATCGTTATGACTGAAAATAATTTACAGTGAAACTGGTTGAAGCATTTCACTTTATAGTGAATATTATGATGCAAATTTTGATTGTTCAACACAATAATGGAAATCTGTGACTGTTAAACCTCAGCTGAATAGAACAACTCTATGCAAATCAATACTATCATATAATGAAATAATGTAGTCTGCTTTTTTCAAGCATTTTTCCATTTTAAACCTCATCAGAAGTTGCCCAACCATTCTTTCATTCACAAATTGGTGTGATTAATAAAGAAAGTTTACAGTCAAATGAAAAAACTAAAGCATTCAAAACACAAAACATTTTACATTTGTGTTCCATGATTTTTTGTATAATTTTGTAAAATCATTTTATTCAGTGGCAGTAACAAATCAATAAGTCAAACAACTATCAAATCTATTCTGTGCAATTGCAAGTTTACATAAGTATAATAATTTCAGCATTCACCATTATTCAGTTGAACATAATTCTGCAATTTTTTTTTTTCAGCAGAAAGGTTCTTAAGATGTTTAGACTGTAAGCATATATAATGTATGGTTAATTAGCCCTCTTAGTTTCAAACATGATTAATAATATTAAATGTGTGGTCCTGGAAATATCCATACAAACCCCAAGGAGAGTTAGTAGAGATTAGGAGGGGGTCTCAACAGCCAATAATTTTAAAGGAAACTATTAACCTAAACTGGAATCTCTTGAGGGATCGGGATTGGTGCGGGCAGGGGTGGGTGGGTCCAAACCAAATAACTTTCCATGGGAGGGGTATGGATATTTTTTGGAACAACACCTTGCAGATTCTTTTCACCAACTGATACAGTCAATTTTTTTTTTCTTTTTTCCTGTTTGCTTGATATTGGCTGGTAATGCTAGATCATTTGAGAGCTACTACAAATTTAGGATTAGGAGAAAGTTTAATAATAATATTCATAATAATAATTATAATAATAACCTACTGGAAGACATTGTATAAGCACAGCATTTTAAAATGTCAATTCAGCATGATAATTTGTCTGAAATTTTTTTAACAAGTATTTTTCATGATCAGAAACAGAATACCAAATGAATTTAGTCTGATGCAATTCAGTGTAATAGCCCACTTCAAAATTACTTGCCTGATGAGTTGTACGACACTAGGTCCAACTAAAAATGTAACTTACAAATTGTATCAATAACAACATTTAAAGCTATAGGCTTTTGTGAAACCCATTTGTGTTTTAAAGTCAGTGGTATATTCCATAAGGTTTGGAAACAGCAAGAAAGATTGAAAACCAGTTACATTTGTGTGTAAACTGATGCAAGAGTAATCAAGGCATCCAGTTACAGCAGCAACTACAGCTGTAATGTTATTGCATTATTGCTATAATTAATTATTGGACACCCAGATGAATATGCTCTTATGTAGACAAAAAGACATGGGAAACAATTGAAAGATAGAATTCAGTAACTGTTTCAATCCTGTGTGAATTGAGATCACTTATTAATATATTTGATGCTTAATCAAATAGTTAAATGGAAGATCCTCCTCTACATTTTGATGGTTTTTATCTTAAAAAATGAATTTATAAACATGCATATTTCATGTTTTTGATTAAAGATAGAAAGGCACAACAAGTGGCAGAAATTATAGTCTTAGGCTCTGGATCAGAAGGTCCGATGCATTTCACTTATGTAGTGTCTCTGCTCACACAAGCATTATTTTGACATGTCAGCTTACTAGGGGAAGAAGCAATTACCTTTTCTTAACTTGTCCAATATTCTCTAAAGATTTTGCTGGGTAAAAAGGGTCAAGTAATATAACATGATCCACTTTATAGTTCACCACTAAATTTTCTCCAATTCTCATTGGTTTAAATTGATCACTTGACACGATAGTGTTTGTTCGTGGAGAGACACTATCAGGCCATAGTGCCCATCCGAGGAAAATACCCAGATGGATAGTACTCGTCCGTGAAAATTTTTCTGTAAACAAGCGGGCTTGTAGAAAATAAACAATTGAAATTGTATTTAGTGGGTTTCTCTGTTGTCTTTTCCAATTTTACATTTGGTTGTCACGGCTTTCACCTAAAAAAGTTAATTCAAAAAAAATTATTCTAAATAATAATTCAATATGATTTTTGAACTGGCGCACAAAAGAAAATTTAGTGGTGAACAATTGAAGACAATAGAGTGTTTCTGACTTGGAACTATCGGTCTGATAGTTGCTCCTTGGAAATTTGATGTTCTTAAAACTAGCATATTTGCCCTCGAAACTTTGCCTCTCGGGCAAATATTTGTTTTAAGAACATAAAATTTCCACGGGGCAACTATTAGCTGATAGTTCCTTGACAGAAACACTATTGTTTAATTAGTGCAACTCCTCGGACAACCACATTTCACTGCAAGTTAAAACATTGCCCAAATTCACACCATTCAGCAAGTTCCAAGGTGCTGAGACAAGGATAAATTGGTCAAAGTCTATGCAGCACGTTGCTGTGGCTTGCAAAACGGTAGTAAAACATTTGACCAATGCTTTTCAACTTGCAGATCAACATATTTTTTTGGACAAAGTACTGCAAGGAAAACGATACCTGTATTGATAAGAAGTTAAAGAGGAAGTGTGTAACTATCATGGGATCAATCATGGCACTTAGCCATCAGCTAATAAGATTAGCTATCTGTCAGCAAATCTGTCAAAAGTCAACTTAATTTAATGAATGGGATTGTCATTTTCAGCTTTGATATATCCCAAATCCTTTTTGCACTTAGCAATAAATAAAAGGAACTTGTCCAAAGGAATGGCTTTTAGCAGGTTATTTAGTCAATCTGCAGGTCACAGAGCATTGTACACAATAAGATTGTACCATTTGTGGCACAGCGAAAATATAAGATTCAACTGATAAATTCTAGGACTGGGAAAGATAAAATTAAGATCTGTTTCACAACAACAGGTCATTATGAACAAGTCTTTGATTTTAGTTTGTTATAAATGGCAACAGAAAATTTAACTCTGTAAATATAAGTAGTTTTTTCAATATTTTGATCATATGTCAGGTGAGTGGTCTCTGTGAGGTAGAATTCTCCTGATGTGTGCTTGACAATTTTACATTGACTGATACATGTGAAGTTGAAAAATTAAATTGTTTTACAGGCGTTATATTTTGTGTTACAACTGTCAACCCAACCAAACACCTTAACAACTCCAAACAATGACACAAACATGTTCCTTCCTAACCTCAGAAATTCCAATTTTTTATCCTTTATAAAATAAATGATTTCCCTGAAATGGTAACAATTCATCTTGATCTTAAAAGACACGTTTCTCCACTTAAATATCTACAATAAAACTTTACTAGCGTTTAGTAAAATTAAATGATAAACTTTGTAACTGACAAAAGAAGAAAGAAGTTTCTCTTGCTCTGTTTAAACTATAAATACTTTAACCATGTTTTTAGAATTACCATTTAGGCCTCCTTTAACTGTAAGCAAACCCAACATGTGTTTCTGACTTAATACGCTCATACATGTACATGCCTTAATTAGAGACAGCTACATGACCTATATACATTTAGATGTTCTCACATTAACTACTAACTTACACAAAACATTTTAACATCTTGGAATTTTTCTAATATTCAATGAAAAAGTCCCAATTTGTAAGGACTGGTGTAACAGTAACTTCCAATGAAATAATAAACACCTATTTTTATAGAGACAACAATAGCATTAGCTATTAAAATACCAAAAATTCCCCCTCCCAAAAAGATAAGACTTTGAAGGAAATAACATAATGGATATTAATATACTTGGCTTTGCCTTGCGGATTCACAATTACTTGGCCAACATCACGCCGTTCAATATTAGTACAGGCATAAAGAACAAGCATCAAATTGCTAACTGACACAAAATTATTAGAAACATGACTAAATAAGGGGCTGGTCTTACATATAAATATCCAAAGGAGGGTTGCTGGCGGGGGGTTTCTGATATTTTTTCTGTTTGAAAACATTACAATAGCTTGAGCCAAACAAAAAGAAAATGGGGGTCTTCAAATTTCTGACATTTCCAAAGTAAAATTTTCCAGTTGTCTCAGGTTTGTAGAGGATTGATTTGACATCACAACAGTTTTTGAGATATGAAGAAAAATGTTTCATTGCTTGAAGTTAAATTACAGTTATCTTTTGTCTCAAACAGGGTCACATTCTCAATACCATCACCCCACCATGTCTTCATCTACTGCCTCACCCCTACCCCCAGGGAGATGAGTTGCTTGTCTGCAACAAGGTTCTTCAATTGATGGCGTTTTCGTGTTGAAGTAGCCATTTTTTGGTAGCAGCTCCGTTAAATGAGCTATAATTTCCAAGATCACCATTACTTTTGACTACTCTGTGGCAAGGAACGATGAGGGGGATGGGGTTTGTCTTCATTGCTGTTCCCACAGCCCTGGCTCCCTTGGGGTTGCCCGCCATATTGGCAAGCTCTCCGTAAGTTACGGTTTCTCCAGCCTTCACTCGATCTTTGAGGATCTTCCACACTCTGCAGCAAAACGGTTTGTTCAGTTCAAAATCTTTGGTGTTCAAAGTTGGTAATTCAACTTTCGCCAAAGGTGAATTCGAGAAATATGCGTCCATCCAAGCGATGCAGTCCTGGATGTGTTGAGTGGAACGACTCTTAGGGTTTAGCTTCTTGTTTTCTTGCGCAGCTTTTATCTTTGTTCCTTTTAGTTGAATGGATGTAACGCCATCATTATCGGCCCGGATTTCATAAACACCAACTGGAGACTCGAAATATCCTACTTGCTTCATCTTTGAGCTCACTCACTCGCTCGCCCTTCTTAGGAAAATGGCGCGAAAATTAAGTGCCTGAATACCTTAAAAGGGAAAACAATCCTAATTTGGATATGCTACTCTCACAGGCAACCCAAAGGTAGCCCAGGTTTCTGCCAGAAAGATCCATGTGGAACACGAATATTGTTTCACAGACGTTTATTTATTTATTTTTTTGGCATGAGTTATTTTGCGTTTTGGCTCGTTCATATCCCACGCGCCGGGTTAATACTGTTTTGCTAAATGTTGGTAACACTTAGCGCCGCAAACTTGCAACACTTTATTTGCAGCAAGACACGGTTCGTCACGCATGCGGTAACAATGGGCTTCAACTTTCAATGCAACAATGCTGCGAGACAAGTTGAAGGAAAATGTTGCCTCCTTGGATTGATTATTTCAATTCCAAAATTCGAGAAGATGACGATAAAAATAGTTGACTTTACAAGCGCGCAAAGTTACATGTAAGCTATTTTACCTTCAAAAATGGTCTGAAAGGATCCGAATTTATTGCAAAATGTGTGAGTCCTTTCTTCAAAGTTTTTCATTTTTAATTGGTCAAATTGTAAAATTCTACCTAAGAGATTTTTCCCCGGCAGGGGGACTTCAGTGTAAGAGGGATGAGGTGATCTTCGTGCCTTTAGGGGTAAAATTTCCGGTTCGATACCACTCAGTGCGTTTAAAACTGAGATACTAGTAATCACTATGGACCCACTGTGTAATATATTGTCGAGTATGACATGTTGGTTGACAGCCTCATCATTAAGGTACTAAAAATAGCTTTAAACTGAATCATTGCTTTAAACCGTAATGTACTTTATTTCTGTACAAAATGTAGTATAAAACCATCCTGTTACAGCAACTCTTCTTGTAAGAGTGTCTGATTGACAAGTACAAATTTTACATTAAAATTAAAAAAGAACAACTTGAGAGACATCAGTTTTAGAAACCCAGCATGTCTGTTGCCAGAGATTTCTTTTATATGCCTGTTCTTATAGAGGTGTAGTAGAACCTTGAAGGATTTGTTAAAAAGGTGTATTTTTAACTGACAGAGCAAGGTGGCTCAGTTAGATCTTAAAAGAGAGGCACATTTATATTTGAATGGTGTGGGGCCTAAAAAACCAAAGGAGGCAAATAAAAAAGAGGGAATTGTTTTTAAATAATATCGGTTGTTTTATTTTATGCTTTATATATTTTATATATATATATTTTAAGAAAATTAAAATTAAAATTAAAACTAAAAAAATAATAATTTTTTTAGCTCCTTAATTTTTGTTTAGAAACAATCGGGAAAACGGTTGAACAGTTCATCCACAAAAGTTTCTTCCTCCTTAAGTTGTTGTGGGGCATATGGTTTTACTCTGTGTCCAGCAAATCGGATTCTTTTTCCATGGATTCTTGAAGGAAGCCTGGATTGGACCATTCCTTTACAATTAAATCGCTTGATGATTGGTCCAATGTTCACAACACAACAGTAAGCATTGTACACGAAAACGGCCAGCACGCCTCCAAACATCAGTACTGGGACCGAAACAGCGAGCAACGGCACTAGACATATCACAAGTACTCCCCCGAATACTGTCAGCGCTGTGAAGACGATGACCACAAAGGAGCCGAATACGAACGATACGAAGACGATCACAGGGAGGAAGCTAAAGCTGAAGACAATAGCCAAGAACATTGCGATCACAGGATGGGAGTGACTAAACTCATTAGCTTGTCTGCATATACGCACGGCTTGACAATTCTCTAGACTCTCCAAGCAGTAAGCTTGGTAGTTCTTCATGGTCTCCCAGCGGTCAGTCAGCCACTGTGGAAGTAACTTGTCAATATCCATGGCGAGAAAGAAAACTAAGGAAGGCAAAGAAATACAAAGTTACAGTGGTATTATTAACCACGCTCTTCTTGTGTTCGGAAAATGTATCGTTTTGGAAAACAGGCCCACGGTATTGTTAAGAGAGGATCGGGTTTTTTGATTTCAAAAGAAGGAGCATCTGGTAAAGACGAAGTGTGCGCCTATTTTTGTCTTTCTTTCGTGTGCTGACTCACTAGGTGCGCGGCGCGATTTTCATGTTCCCACTCTATCGCGCATGTGCTATAAGGTAATAAGCTTTCCTTCTAACAAATTAAACCACTCCCAAATCAGTGGAACTGATTTGCATTCGCAGTTTGGACGTTTGGTCAAATTCACACTCACCTGACAGTGTGTATGATCCCACGCTTAGAAAACTCTCTTCTTTTCTTATCAAGCTAGCTATAAAGGACTCCAAAAAGTGACTTTGCTGGATAACTCGCGAACTAGACCGAGAAGTATGATTCAACTACGACATTGGGATTCATGACATGCAGTCAATTATTACGTCACCTTTTGGTCATACGAATACCACGCACGCGCAGCTTAACGTTTTGATTTTGGACGAGCCATAATTCCATCTATTGTAATTCTGAGTAACCTGGGACCAAGCTTTCGTTCACCGCCTTTAAATGACCAAAAAAACGAGGGTAGCGCATTCTAACAAAGAAACACCAAGGATAGAAGAGGGAAAATGGAGTGCGTCATTTGCAACGTAGTGTATTTCGCCCAATCAGCAACAAAAAAGTTCGCGTTTTTCCACCCTTGGCATGGCTTCTAGTCTTTTCTTTGCGGTCCGATTGTTTGTAGGTTTGTTTGCTTTGTGTTTTTGCTTGTTTATCCCGATAGAGCAAAAAAGACAGGTTTACTTCAAAAAGGAGGGAGCAGCCCATGCAGCGAACAAGCCCCGTTTTCTAATCCCCGCCCCTAGTCCTGTATAGCGTTGGTTGATAACACTTAAATTAGCTGTGACTTTGACCAATAACCTAGAGGATGGAGAGCAATACAGTTAACTCGTGAGTGAACCTCACTGAACTAAATCAGGAAAATTGAGATAATTACACATGGCGAATTGTCTAAGCGTTAGAACTAAACGTTCCATTAGACACTAAAGATTCAACTCATATTTTATCAATTTTTTAATCTCAGTTTTAGTGTGTAAATCATTCATTTCTTTTGAAAAAAATATATTTTTAATGTTTAGCCCTCTCTGAACATTGTTTTATCCTTGATGTTACAGCAGTGGAGATGATTTTTCCACCTTAAACATCTCAGTTAAAAGACAGGATGATCGAACAAGTCAAGTGAGCAGTTTTCACTTGTTCGCCAAAAGTGAGTTGACTCTGAGTTTGTACAGTTGTGTAGTAAAATCAAATCTCGTGAAAGTCGAACTAATCAACAGGAATATGCACCAAACTTAAACCAATTGTGGTGTGCGTTACCATGAGTGCCTATAACCGGTTGCCACACTCAACAAAGAGTAGGAAATGTTTAGGAGGCCTTATGTGACACCTAGTCACGAAAGAGATAAATGAGGGTGAAGGGAATGTTTCTGTCAGCGCGCAGCGAGTGACTCGTGTCGGTTCCACCACAGCACCAGCTACAAAAAGGATTTCCCATATCCGCCACTGTCTTTTCGCAAACTTTGTTTATGTATACTTTCACCGTGCTTCTCGTGAAAATTACTGGTTCACGATCTCTAATGACGGTCTTACACTCGTTTCACGCTTTGACTTGCCACTTTTCAAATATCACTTGGATTTGTGCTTAATTTCCTGCAGCTTTTGAAGCGTTTCTGCTAATCTTTGACATTTTTTAACAATGTCTTCATCCCCGCTAGTGCTACTGCTCCGTAATGCCACAGAGTACATCTGCTTGGCCGTTTCCAGTCCTCCCCAGTCCCTGCCCGATCTTCCCTTATTCTTGAGCAAACTGTTTGCTTTTACGAGTTCTTTCAAAACGTTCGTGAGACGCGATTCCAAAATCGGAATCAACGTCCGCACCTCTTCCCATTTGATTTCAGAGTCGTCTTTCGCGTGAACCTTGGAGCTTTCTTCGCTCTTTGAGCCTGTTGCAGTTTCGCATTCGCTCCTCTCAACATCTGTTAACGTCCCTAAGTGTTCTAAAGCTCTCTTAGTATCAAACAAATGATCCAGAGCTGCCTGTAGACTTCGAATAGCAGCTGCTGACCCACCGTAAGTTGTCACGTGATATTCACACATGGCGACCTGTTCCAGATGAACCCGTATCCACTCACAGGGGAACTGTTTTGGTTGTAAACACCCCACAGCCTTATTGTAATGAAGCTCAGCTAAAGAGCGCGCTTTCTTCTTTGAGTGATCAACAGCCTACAGAAAGAGATTCTGGTTTGTTAAAAGGTTACTTTAGACTAGTTCACTAACATGTTACTTGAGGTTTGAGTCTAAGACTATATGCTTTGAAAACGATTTTATAAAAAACATTACAGGCTCAAATCACCTAAAAGTAGAGATTATCAAACAGTCAGTCCGTCCGTCCGTCCGTCCGTCCGTCAGTCAGTCAGTCAGTCAGACAGTCAGTCAGTCAGTCAGTCAGTCAGTCAGTCAGTCAGTCAGTCAGTCAATCAGTCAATCAATCAGTCTGTCCGATTTTCTGTTGATCAGCCGGTTGGCCAGTCGATCAATAGGAAAATGACAAGCTTTTTATGGTTGCATGCGAGTTATTTAGAAAGGTTCTACAACTCTGAAGTTCTGCTCCTTCTTAGCATAAAGGAAGTGAGTTTTAACAAGTCTAACCTGGTTTCTATAAGAATTATGGTAAAGAGACGCCAGGCGATGGTGTATTGAGGCAATGCGATGATATAGCTGCTGCCTAGACTTGGCGCTAGTGTAGAACGCAGACCCAGCGGCAGTGGGCTCCAACAACCGGAGTGCTTTCATCATCAGCTCAGTAACTTCTTGCTCAACCTGACATAAATACCAACATTTGAAAAACCAAGGTCTAGTTCAAAACTAAAAGGACTGAAACAATCCTCGGCGATGGTTGAGTCGTAAAGTTACAAGTAAGACCGGGGCCGTGTTAACTTGCGATATCCGCACGCTACACGATGAAACCAGTTTAAAGATAAAAGTGATTACGGACTCCTATAAATTGAACGTTAGCCTGATAGGTAGAAAAAGAAAAAGTTGGCTCTCGACACAAGACCAGAAACCACGTACACAACGTGATAATACATACAGAAATATTTACAGCACAGTAGTTTCCTTTATGAAGCTAACCCTTGCTGAGACACTGGTTGAAATACGTAAGAATTTGGGGTTAGGGTTAGGGTTGGTGTATCTAAAAAACCTCGAGGGTATAGTAAAACTATCATTTCCACAGATCTTGTTTCAATGCAATTTGCGTTTTGTAGGCGTAAATTTACTTGTGTTATGTTTCAGCAAAGTGTCCAAAATTGTTGTTCGAAATTTCTCCGAAATGCGGTATAAAGAGTCCGAGAATGAAACGTCCGAAATTTTTTGCATGTAGTCAGTATGTCCAAAGGACTGTTCTAATAACAACTAGATACTGATAAACTGCCTATATGTAATCCGTTACCTGCTCCTGAGCATAAGATGATAAAGGAGCATAATCCTGAAGCAGCGTGCCCATTGAATAGTAGGAGCCTGATAGTTCCCACGTGACGGTGTCCCAGACCTGTGGGCTTTTTTTCCTCTCTGACAAACAGCGAAACGCCCTGTTGTAGAACTCAAACGCCTGGAAAGAGAGAACGGCAAAACAACAAATGCAAACTTGTTTGGTTGCTCGAGGCTAAACGATATACAACAACAGCGTACATGGCATGAATGCACAACAAGTGGACTACGAGTGGTCCATCTTGTACTCAAGGTCCTCTCTCCTCTGCAGAGGTTCAAAGGGGATATTTCGGGTGGGGAGGATCCGCTGAACAATATGAGTGCAGGCGCAGGGTTACGTGAAGGGGATTCATTCGACTTTGCGCCTGCACTCACCTCGCACAGCGGCTTTCTATAACGAACGATTCGAACCTGGCGGAGGAGAGAACTCAAGATTTACTCGAATCAAATAGATGAAACTGCTCGCAGTCTTGAAAACAAGTGACGTAATTATTTTCTGAGAAGAAATAGAATTATGGCCATTAGTTGTTTTACCACGGTACAGAACGAACTGTTTTGACATCATTAAGGAAGCACGATTATTGAGTTTGCTGTCTGACCCAGCACCATTCTATTCTGAGAGATGATGAACACTACCTCCACAAGTATCGTAATAAACCAATTAGAACTCTATGCAAGAACACGTGACAACGTAACGGCTGGAAATGGCGGGAAAGTGGCGTCAAGCAAATCAGGATTTTCAAAGAAGACAACGTGACTGGCCAGAGCATTTTGATATGGACTAATCAAAGATTTCGCTCCGCTCAGCAAACAAAACTGAACTTTCCATCGACAGCTGGTCGACACAAGCTAGTGGGACTACATGGAAGATGTAACATTAAAAACAGTCCGGAACCTTGTTAAAATAACTCCTCTCTTCCTGGCTGAATTCTCCTCTTCTTCCTGTCAGCTTGGTTTCCACGCCACCCACACCCTGAGCGCACAGTCGCATTAATCTGCCTAAATTGGACAGTAGTAACGCCTTGTTCGCACTGGAGAGAGAATAGACAACGCAGTGATTATAATGACATGAACAGATTCTACTCTTTCTTTTTGATGGTAACGATAAAGAGTGTGGTCTTATTGAGCTTATGAAAAACACACGTCCGTCAGTCAAGGACGGTAACCGGAAGGGGATGTCCCTTTTTGGCGGGAAAACTCGTGTTTTCGCCTCTTTAGCTTGACGTGTGATGGTTTTCTTGCCAAAAGTAGGGATAGCCGACATCTGGCTGCCGACATCTGGCTGCCGTCTTCTCCAACTCAGTCACGGATGATTACGCTAAGGACGCAGAGAAAAGGGACTACGAAAGTGAAAACTTTTTCAAAAACTTCTTCGGGCCTTACTTCCTTTGCGGTATACTGCTGAACCTTCTGAGTTGGATTAAGACGCGCAGCACCTTGCAGTGCAGGCACTCCCGGCGGTAAAGTTGTGAAAGTGTTTCTTCTCGTTAGGATCAGTCGCAGATGAACGGGGAAAACTGGGGCGAGAGACATAGTAAACAAAGGGAGTGGTCGAGGCTACAAAATAGAGAAATTAGAGTCCGTGAAAATCATTCGCCTCTCTCCTTGTTGCTACAAAACGTTTGGTACTAACCTGTCATGCGTGATGTCAAAAGTGCGAATACCGCTTTCGAAACAAGAGAAGCTTCTCTTCCACAGTTCTCGTTCCAGAAAGGAGGGATCTGTGCCGCTGTCCATCATGGCAGCGGCCTTGTTCATATAAAGCACGCCCAGTTCGTTCTTGGCATTTCCCATGCGCCTCGTCAGGTTGACCATCAGCTCTACTTTAGTGTCTGTCGTCACTAGCTGAAGAGCTGCGTCATATAGACTAACACTAAAAGTCACAGACGGACAAAGAATTAAATTGTGAATGTTGAGTCTACGAGTTAACTAGACCACCTGGGGTGCACTGTTTCAGTAAGTAAAGCACAAATAATCTTTACGTATAAAATAAATATATAAATTTTTGTCTTTACGATGTCATTGTACAAACTTTTAAAAACGCAATTTTTAGCAAGTCAAACCCTTAGCATCAATACAAGGCAAAACTATTTTTTAAGATTGTCTCTTCTAGTACTATATCAAAAATACGGAGAGCAGCAAAGGGAACAGGCAATTTTCGAGGTGCTTTAGCCTCTGTTTCACGAGTCTTCATGCCAAACCATTCACATGAAAATGTGTTCCGCCTACACGTTTGTTCTCGGGCAAATCAAACTGATTTTCAAATGAAAGGGTGACTCGTTCAGTTTGAAACAGAGGTACAAGGTAACTATTGTATTCTAGATACATGAGCCTCCTTATCATATCACGACTTAGGGGATTTTCAGGGGGCGTACGAACCCCAAGCTAGGCTAGTTGTTATGAGCATTACTTGCTCATGACAAACATGACAGCACAATACAAACGCTAAAAAAGCGAGATCAGTTTTTTCACCTCTTAAGCAAATTTTTCTCCACCTCAGACACAAACTTGACGCTGGAAGAATGCTCCCCTTGACCAGCAATGCACTCCTCAACTGTTTCAGAAATGAACGCGTCTTCTTCGGATTGAAACTGATAATCTTCCTGATGAACAGCTAAATTCCCCTGACACTTAGACAACATTAGGTACGAGTCCCCACACACAAACAGCACAGAGATCAACAGCTGGTCGCCTGGATGAAAAAGTTGATGAAACAAAATTGCGCCATTCAGCCGAGATCAAATTAAAAATCTGCATGGTTGGTAAGGCTACGAGTACGCAGTTTTTGACAATATCAGAGGTTGCTAGGAAACAGGAAGTTAACTTATAACGTCATGCTGACCGGAGTTCGGCACGTGTTCATACTGTTTTCTTATTGGTTGAAAGGTATCGGAAAATCTAAAGGTCTTACGAAGATTGGCCGAAAATGACTTAAGCGAAAAAGGCACTAAAATAAAAGAAAAATCAAGCGGTCGAATAATACTGATGGTTGAACATCTAATACACGCTGTTCTCCCATTTTGCCTTCTCATGCGGGGCTCGAAAAAATAAGACACCTCCCAAAATATCTACTTGTACGTTAAACCATCAAATAGGGTTGGTGTAATATGAAACACTGTGTAACGACGTATCTCTGTTAATTTATCAGAAAAGATAATACCCGCCACCGGGTAGTGCGACAACTTGAACCAGGGCACTTGTAAGAAAAAACGCTAATTGAGAACAATGGATAGAGGCTTGAAAACTGGGACAGGTCTCGCGCACGATGTTGGTGTACAATTGCGTAACAAAAACGGTCTCACGCTAGATTTCTTATTATTTCTCGTCATTCTTAAAGCCAGTGGTCGTAAAACTTCGCAGAATTGAAGTTCTATCTATGTGCACCCCAAAAAGCGAAATTTTCCGTCTGAAAGAGATTTATTAGAAGAACAATAACAAAATTCCGAAAACAGGTTAGGCAAAAAGTGCCGTTTTTCCCCCACTTTTTGACCAAAACGGAAAGTGCATTATTATAATTTTCAACTTCTTAGTGTGAACAATTCAATTCAAGAAGGTGTCTCCAAAGTGCACCTAAATTTTGCTTTAAAATGGTGGGATTCTTTCATTTGTGGTTGTATCT